GAATCTCATGGAGCACTTGGGGCTGTAACGTATGCAGAAAGAAAAAGAAAGAACACCTTGTATTGCAAGTGTAGGAGGGAGATAGGCTGATAACTTGGGGCACGGTCTATGTCCTTTCAGATTTAAGGAGGACAATAGCCATAAAGACCACATATGTATCCAGGTACATATACTTGTACCTGGATATGTTTGAATATAGAAGGTATGAAATTAGTACACATACATACTTGTTTATGTTACTGAAAAGGAGTATCTTATCTAGTCTCCTAGCCCCTGCAAAGGAGGTACACACCAATTTTATTATAATAATATAGGAATCCTAACAACCACCCTAACTTTGATTTTTAGACTTTCTTTGAACTCTTTAAGCCTCAGTTTCCTCTTTTGTACTATGGGCTTAATTTTAATATCACCAAGCAGACTTAAACTAGTTCTGGTGAATAGAACTTCCTCCAATGATGGAATTGTTCCTTATCCACATTGTCTGATATTATGGCCAATTGTCACATTGCTATTAAGCACTTGAAATGTGAGTAGTACCACTGAGGATGGAATTTTCAGTTGTATTTGATTTTAATAACCACTTGTGGCTAGTGAGCGCCATACTGAACAGTGCAGCTCTAGACCAATAAATTCAAAGGATTTTCTTCCTCTTAACCCTTTCCTCTCATAAAGAAATCTTTACGGTACTTTTCTTGTTGTTGTCTTTATTCTCCAGATGAATCATGCTTAAGAAGTTAACAGGAAAGGAGGCATCTAAAGAATCACCAGCACAATCACAAGAGTTAATCTGGCTCTAACATTTTCTTTTGATAAAAATATAAAGCAGAGTATTTTTCTGCATTTAGCATATATGCCAAGACAGGTTACAGAGCACGGCGACATGCATGGCTTGGATATAGCACCTTGTCCTGGATATGTGACCCCAAGAATCTACGTATTGAACCAATACAAAGGCTGTGTGTCTTCCTGCAGCCCTCCTTTGCAAACATTGACAAACAGCTCCTTTAGTCTGGCCATAGAAGACAAACATAGATAACTTGATAGATGGGAGATAGATAGGAGGTTTAGGTACAGACATAGAGATGTAGACTCAGGTACAGGTGTAGGTGTGGATATAGATGGTAGACATAAAGATGAAGGTGTACATGTATAGATATAGATAAAGATAGAGAGACAATCTCCCAAGACATATTCTCCTGGGAGCTCTGAGAAAGACAGCTCACTTCACTACAGAACTCATCCTTGCTTAAAAAACAAAAACAAAACAAAAACAGACTTACATATGCCAAGGTAGGATTTTCAAGAGTTGGGAAAAAGAAATCCTGGAAAAAAATACTCATTGAAGTCCACATTTTTCAGTACAAAAGCTCTCACTGCTGCCAAAGACTGTCCTATTCCTTCCACACACAGTATCTCACACAGACTCCACAGCAGTCCTACAAGAACACTCAGAGCATGTTTTATTGATGACATGACTCTGGCTTGCATTATAGCTCACAGTTTGTCCAAGGAAGTGGTTGAACAATGACTCAAAGTCAAGACAGTTTGTCTATATATCCGTGCTCTTCGGCACTCTTCATTTTATATGCCAGTGACTTGGAGTTTGCTATATTATTCAAAGCCCTTTCTATTGGGTAATTCCAATTAGAGATGTATTTCTCAAGTCCTTTCTCTACATCTGCATCTCTATTCCTGCTGGACTTAATGGACACAGCAGGAGAAGGAAAGGATGGGATGAAATTGAGAAAGTAGCATTGAGATATATACACTATCACGTGTGAAACAGATAGCTAATGGGAAGCTACTGGATAACACAGGGATCCCAGTCTGGGGCTCTATGATGACCTAGAGTGATGGGAGTCAGACTCAAGAGGGAGTGGATACACACACACACACACACACACACACACACACACAGAGTTATGATTATAACTGATTTGTGTTGTTATATGGCAGAAACCAATGCAACATTGTAAAACAGTTATCCTCCAATTAAAAAAAATTAGAAAAAGAAATGTATTTCTCCTATTGTGCTGAAATTTGCCTTCTTGTAAGCAACCCTTCTCTCCACCTGCAGTGTACACACATATTGGCGCTTGTTCTGTCCATTGAGGCCACAAAAGACAAGCCAGCTCCTGGTTCCCTGGAGTTTATGCAGAGTAATCCTGTTCCTCTCCACCTTGGCTTTCTCAACTACAGAATAAATATGTACAGGTCTGCATTCTTTCCTCCTGTGAGATCTTTTCCAGACCTTCCATCACCTGATCACTTCCTAGGAAGATAAGAAGTGCTTCTGCTTGTGCTTTCTAAAGAATCATTCTCTGATTTTAAAAGCCCTACTATCAGAACATGATCCTTCATGTCTAACTTATATGTAACAAACTGCAACCTAAAGTAATTTTACCCAGGTTTATCCTCAGAGGAGACATGAACCAGCCAGTTGTCTGTATGAGAATATTTTACATTTTTAAAGGTTGTTATTTGCTTTGTATGTTTGCTTCTCTGGTGTAAATATTTCCAGTTCTAGTAAATTTATCTTCATAAGGTTTACCCCCTTACACATCAGTGATTTCTGCAGCTCCTCTTTGATCTAGATTCAAGTTGCTGCTGGGCTTAGGACTGGATTCAATGAGGAGGTTTAACTGAAGCAAAAGTAGGCTATGGGCTTGGACTCATGCTAGGTTTTTTTCCTCAGAGCACAAAAAACTAGCAGCTATTTTTTTAATGTGTGCCTACTATGGCCTTGATACCATTTGGGGTGTTTTTTGTGCAGAACTTTAATTCATAATTCCCTCTGGAAGGAGTTTGATCCCTCATTGTACAAGCGAGGTCATGGTTTAGAGAGGACTAATAGCTTGCCAAGGCTTCCTAGATGGCGCTAGTGTTAAAGAACCCACTCACCAGTGCCAGAGACCTAAGAGATGCAGGTTCAGTCCCTGAGTCGGGAAGATCCCCTGGAGAAGGAAATGACAACCCACTACAGTATTCTTGCCTGGAGAATTCCATCGACAGAGGAGCTTAGTGGGCTATGATCCATAGGGTCTCAAAGAGTAGGACATCACTGAAGCGACTTAGGATGGATGGACAAGTAGCTTGCCCAAGTCATAGAGTTAGTGAGTGGCATTTGTACTCTTGTACGTCTAGACATTGTCCACCATGTTTAAGGTATAATGAGTCTTTCCTGAAGTGCAAAATTATCCCCCTGCCCTCATACCACCTGGAGCCAATATGGGTAATACACAACCCTCAAGAATCACATTTCCTTCCTCCAAACAATAGAGCATTTGGCTGTGCCAGTGCATGTCTCTTATATACAGAGTGAGAAATCCTTACTCAAGCCATACTCTGGTCATTATTTCCCTAGACTCATTGCCTTTAAGTCTCAACCAATGATTCTAACAGCCTTTTAGATGGAAATTTAAGTCATTTAGCAACACACACAAAAGTCTTGGGTAAAAGTCCAAAAGCATTTCAAACTTGGCCTGTGGTCCTTCCTCATAAAAAAAAAAAAAAAAAAGAAAGCGAATAATTGATGGGAAGAGGGTGAGAAAGGACTCTGTGGAAGGCTAAGAGAGTTCAAACAATTGCAATAGAATACCCAATCAATAAATATTTGTCCAGTAAACAACTAAGATGGGCCAGGGTAGTTTGAAAGAAGACAACTTGCCAAGTTCTCCTCTTCATCATAATTTTCATTCAGTGGGCTTGCCTACATCAAAGATCCACAAATTCTTATTAGGAAACTAATTTGAATAATAAAAGCATACTGATGGCCACCTTCTCTCTGTCCTCATATGGCCTTTCCTCTGTGCACAAGATGGAAAGGCCAAGTCAGAGAGAAACGTGGAGTCTCTTCCTCTTCTATAAGGAAACCGATACTATCATCAGGTTAGGATGCAACCCTCGTGACCTTCAGTTAACCTTGATTACTTCCTGAAGAGCCTTATCTCCAAATATAGTCACACCAAGGGTTAAGGCTTCAATTATGAGTTTGAGGGGAGGGGAAGATAAAACACTCAGGAAGAATAGTTCAAGTACTTGTTGATTGCAGAAGACAGCAAGGGCTCATGGATACCTTTTCTGAGTCATCTCTTGCCCTTGGTCATAGCTTGGATAACTTGTCCTGGAACATTCTGTCAGGTTCTTCTAAAAGCTAGATATTTTAAAGTTTTAGAAATAAAAGGAAGAGAAACTGAAGTTCAAAGATCTAAAATACTGTTAACAACCATCACATTACTAGTAAGATGTTCAGCTGGAATAAAAACTCAATTTGCCTTCGAAAAATCTTGCATTTTAACCTTTGCTTCCCACAGCCGAAGTGAACCAGCAGATGGAGTTAATCTCAGATTGAAGTGTCAATAACGAAGGGAGAAATTATTCAACATCTATGGGACTGTGACCTTCACATCAAGCTCACTCAGCAAATATTGAAGGGACTCAGGAATATATGAATGATTTCCTTAATGTTTTCACTTACATCATTACTTTGACTCTGATATTATGATCTTCACTGTACAGAAGTAAAATAAGACAAATGAAAGTTATATAACTTACCCAAAGGCCCAGAGTTAGGGCTTAGATCCAAACCACATCTGATCTGTCTTATTCCAAAGTTTTGTCCTTTCTCCTGTCTCCTTATATTTCCAAATACTGAATTGTGAGTGAAATCATTCCTTCACGATTGCAAAATTCTTTTAGAGACCATTTTATGACCACACTTCAGCACATACTGAAGGAATAAAAGGAGATCTTCAAACACAGGAAATAGAACATCAAAATTAACTAAGAACTGCAGATATTCAACAGATTCAATTAGCAACAGATACTAACAAGCTTTTGCTTTTCTTTGTTTACGTGTAGGAGAGAACTACTTCGAGAAGATCAGGAACAACTGATTTGGATTCTGCTCTCTGCTTCCGAATCCCCGATTATACCTAAGAGTGAGATACCCTAGGCCCACAAGCACCCTGAGACATTCAGCCAAACTCACCTCCACCATGGGGGTCATGACTCGGCTATTGGCAGGCCTCTTCCTGGCTCTGCTTGCCCTTCCGGCCGAAGGTGGCGTCCTCAAAAAAGTCATCCGGCACAAGCGACAGAGCGGGATGAATGTCACCCTGCCAGAAGAAAACCAGCCAGTGGTGTTTAATCACGTCTACAATATCAAGCTGCCCGTGGGGTCCCAGTGTTCGGTGGATCTGGAATCTGCCAGCGGGGAGAAAGACTTGGCCCCACCATCAGAGCCCAGGGAAAGCTTCCAGGAGCACACGGTGGACGGGGAAAACCAGATCGTCTTCACTCACCGCATCAACATCCCCCGCCGGGCCTGTGGCTGCGCGGCTGCTCCTGACGTCAAGGAGCTTCTGAGCAGACTGGAGGAGCTGGAGAACCTGGTGTCTTCCCTGCGGGAACAGTGCACCTCGGGAGCGGGCTGCTGCCTCCAGTCTGCCGAAGGTAGGAGCTGGTGGCGGGTCCAGCCCTTCACTGTATGGACGGGAGGAGCGGTGAGCCGGGCAGGATGTGTCAGTTGTCTCTAGAGTGGGTTCCCTGGGGAACCAGCCTCAGAAGGTGTTCATTCAAAAGAGATTTAATGGACAAATGACTATGGAGAATGTCACCATATCTAGTAGGCTCTTGGAGAGTCATGGTGACAAACGTTTCAGAGGAATTTTCAGGCCTCTGGGAAATCTTGCTTTGAAAAACCCTATCTTACTTTTAAGTACTGGTTTCTAAAACTAGGGCTTCCCTGTGGCTCAGCTGGTAAAGAAGCTGCCTGCAATGCCAGAGACCTGGGTTTGATCCCTGGGTTGGGAAGATCCCCTGGAGAAGGAGATGGGAAAGGCTACCCACTCCAGTATTCTGGCCTGGAGAATTCCATGGACTGTATAGTCCATGGGGATGGGGTCACAAAGAGTCAGACACAGCTGAGCAACTTTCACTTCACTTCTAAAACTTATTTGACAATGAAATCTGCTCATTCCATACCCTGAAACCCTAAGAATGCATTTTGAAATCCCTCACCCAAAGAGCATTCTCTGAAAGGTAGTAATGTACCCACATCACCCTGTTGTATAAATAAGGAAACTAAGGCCAAGAAGGAAGTTGGGATTCCCCAAGGTCCTGACATAAGTGGCCAAGTTAGGACTTAAATGACAGTATTCCATACCCTGTTCTCACAAAGCTACAGCACCGCCTACAGTGATGTGAAATTTGGGGGAAATAGGAAAAAAACTTTCCAGTTTAAATGCAGCAATAATGATGATCACATGTGAACTGAGTCCTTTATGTACTGGGTTGGCTTGTAGCCTACAGAAAGCTCAAATGAACTTTTTGGCCAATGCAGTACCAGGCAGTGTAATTCACTGTCTCATTTAATCCTCCCAACAACCCTTTGAGATAAGGTTTAATACCCCCATGCTATAGATCTAAGAAATGAGACTCAAAAAAGTTAAGCAACTGGCACAAAAAGACACAAAGAGTGATAAGAAACAGGAGCTTCGGAGGTGGCTGTGTTTCTGCAGAACTCTGCCTGTCTCTAGGTGCATCTTTTTTTTAAGGAATTTTGCTGCTTTGGAATTTTGTCTTCCTTTCCATTCCCTAAAGTCGATAGACATACAGGGATTTCAACAAAGCTAAACCAGAGGTGAAAATCTCTATTTCTGCCACTCATTAAAAAAAAAACTAGAAAGTATTTTCACAGATTATTCCAAGAGAAGCTCCAATCAAGAGCAACCCGAATCACCATAAATTGAGGCTCCTATAACTGCATGGACACCAGGCCCTTCTGCAGTGGCCAGGGCAACTTCAGCCCTGAAGGCTGTGGCTGCATGTGGGAACCTGGCTGGAAAGGCTAATCATCATAATAATAAACCCTAATCATCATAAGTTGAGAGTACTGTAGGAATATCCTTTAGGTTTCCAAGGCAAAAAAAAAAAAAATTGTTTACGTACAAATTAGTTCATCTTCCACTTCTCTCAACCCCTAGTAAAATGCAGAGGGGATTTACAGAATAGCACTAATGGAACCCAAAATAATGGGTTAAAAAACTCGTTAATGCAGTGCTATCCATTAGAACTTCAATCTGAGCCACTTACGTAATTAATCATAACTTTTCCAGTAGTCATACTAATTAAATGAAAAAAGAACAGGTAAAATGATTTTAAACATTCATCCAATATAAGTAAATATTCTTTCAGCTTGGAAATTATACAAAAATTATTAATGGATATTTTACATTCTTTTCTTGTATGCTGTTTCTGAAATCCAGAGTGTATGTAGTTCACATTTAGAGCACATCAGAATTCAGGCTAGCCACACTTTAATGGTTTAGAGGCCACACGTGTCTAACAGCTACCATACTAGATGACATAGTTTTAGATTCTCACTTTTCAAGCCAATTTTTTTCTTAAAATTGACTTCCTTCCTGCTGTCAGGAAGGAGATACAATGTATGAACGCAGCTGTATTTAGATGCAGATAAAAGGGAGCAAGTTTTGTTTGTTTCTTTCCTTTGGTTCCATGGAGGCCACACCAGCCATTGCTGCAACTTAAGCCAAAACATTATGGAAAAAGATGGATGCACATGAGCTTTGTGGGGGCTGAGTCTAATGGAAAGTTGTCCTAACAGAATTAGAAAGCCACTCCTTAGCTGCCTCATTTCAATTACTGAAAATTTAGAAACCTTTGGTCGCATAAACACATATACTGACTTAAGTCAACCAAGACCCTCTGCAAGGGGAAATGAGAATTGGCACAACAGTGGGTCCTTAATGTCCTCATTTAACCCAATCGACCCCAGGTAAGTGGGCCATGGGTCCCACCTGACCGATGAAGAATCTGAGCTCCAGAGTGTCCAAATCACTTTGCAAATGCAGCGTGGTTATTGAGTCAAGGCATCAGAACTGAGTTCAGTTCAACAATTATTTCTTGGTGAAACACTTATTCTCTTACATGGCTAACCTTGGCTAACTATGGGAGAAGTAAAAACACAACCCAGCAAGATGCATTCCACAGGCAGTGGTTCGTAACCCTTGGGGTCATAGGAATAACTGAAAATTTGATGAAAACGAGTCTTCTCCCCAGGGATTGAAACACACACAAACACACACACACACACACAAACAAACACACATGTACACACACATGTACACACATACAAACACACGTGCATGTACACACACATACACACACACACAATTTCAGAGAGCATAGCTTAAGAATGCCTACCTAGTGTCATTTGTTGTGAAGGTGTTAGTCACTCAGTCGTGTCCGACTCTTTGCAGCCCCATGGACTGTAGCCTACTAGGCTCCTCTGTCCATGGAATTCTTCAGGCAAGAATACTGGAGTGGCTTGCCATTCCCTTTCTCCAGGGGATCTTCCTGACCCAGAGATCGAACCCAGGTCTCCTGCATTGCAGGCAGATCCTTCACCATCTGAGTCACCAGGGAAACCCAAAATAGAAGATCAGTCCAATTTGGAGCTCCAACCCATGACCGTGAGATTAAAAGTCTCATGCTCTAACAGACTGAGCTAGCCAGGCAGCCCCACCTGATTTCACACAATAAGCAATTGATTTTCAAGCCAGATGGGGCCTGAGATGCCACCTAGCTCTAACAGAATTTGAATCTGAGTTTTGTGGGTAGAAACCAAGAAAGCGAGCTTCCCCTGCTCAAAGAGAGACTCTGTTCTCTTCCCTGCAGGCCGCGTGGACACCAGGCCCTTCTGCAGCGGACGGGGCAACTTCAGCACGGAAGGCTGCGGTTGCGTGTGCGAACCCGGCTGGAAAGGCCCCAACTGCTCTGAGCCCGAGTGCCCGAGCAACTGTCACCTGCGTGGCCAGTGCCTGGACGGCCAGTGCGTGTGCGACGAGGGCTTCACCGGCGAGGACTGCGGCCAGCTGGCCTGTCCCAGCGACTGCAACGACCAGGGCAAGTGCGTGGACGGGGCCTGCGTCTGCTTCGAAGGCTACTCCGGGCTCGACTGCAGCCGGGAGACCTGCCCAGTGCCCTGCAGCGAAGAGCACGGCCGCTGCGTGGACGGCCGCTGCGTGTGCCAGGACGGCTTCGCGGGCGAGGACTGCAGGGAGCCCCTGTGTCTGCACAACTGCCACGGCCGCGGGCGCTGCGTGGAGAACGAGTGCGTGTGCGATGAGGGCTTCACGGGCGACGACTGTGGGGAGCTCGTCTGCCCCAACGACTGCTTCGACCGCGGCCGCTGCCTCAACGGCACCTGCTCCTGCGACGAGGGCTTCACGGGCGAGGACTGCGGCCAGCTCGCCTGCCCCCACTCCTGCCACGGCCGCGGCCGCTGTGACGAGGGCCAGTGCGTGTGCGACGAGGGCTTCGCGGGCCCGGACTGCAGCGAGCGGCGCTGCCCCTCCGACTGCCACGAGCGCGGCCGCTGCGTGGACGGGCGCTGCGAGTGCAACGACGGCTTCACGGGCGCGGACTGCGGAGAGCTGCGGTGTCCCCGCGACTGCAGCGGCCATGGGCGCTGCGTGAATGGGCAGTGCGTGTGCGACGAGGGCCACACCGGCGAGGACTGCGGGCAGCAGCGGTGCCCAGGCGACTGCCATGGCCGCGGGCGCTGCGTGGATGGGCGCTGCGAGTGCCAGCCCGGCTTCCAGGGCGATGACTGCGGCGAGATGAGCTGCCCGCACGACTGCCACCAGCACGGGCGCTGCGTGAACGGCATGTGTGTGTGCGACGACGCCTACACGGGCGAGGACTGCCGCGAGCTCCGCTGCCCCCGGGACTGCAGCCAGCGCGGCCGCTGCGTGGACGGACGCTGCGTGTGCGAGGACGGCTTCGCCGGCCCCGACTGCGCGGACCTCGCCTGTCCCGGCGACTGCCACGGCCGCGGGCGCTGCGTGGATGGCCAGTGCGTGTGCCTCGAGGGCTTCACCGGGCCCGACTGTGCGCAGCGCAGGTGTCCCGGCGACTGTCACGGCCAAGGCCGCTGCGTGGACGGCCAATGCGTGTGCCACGAGGGCTTCACTGGGCCCGACTGCGCGCAGCGCTCCTGCCCCAACGACTGCAGCAACTGGGGGCAGTGCGTCTCTGGCCGCTGCATTTGCAATGAGGGCTACACCGGGGAAGACTGCTCCCAGGGTGAGTAGCAGCCTCCAGCGAAGCGGCGTCTGGGGTTGGCATGTGCTGGAGATCTCTGTGTTACACCACACACACACAGGCACACACACAAGCACACGCTCTTTGAAGGAGCCCTGGTCTCTCACCTCTTTCAGAGCTACCTCTTTGAGGCTCAGAGGCTCAGAGAGGTTCTGGAATTGTACCAAGGACACACAGCTTATAGATCACATGGCTGGTACCTGAATCTGGGTAACTCGTCTATGCTGAGTTTCACACCCAGTGCCCAAGATAAGGTAGATGAAATGATTACCTCCCTTTTGCTAAACATCAACCTTCTTTCCTACTCTACACTGACATGTAAAACTGACATGACATCTTAAACTAAATCCCTGTATTTGGATGGAGTAAAAATTCAACTCAATATTAACGGACAGTGAGATTACATAAAACAAACTCTTTTAAATGCATGCTCAGCTGAAGACCAATGTTGATCACCTATGAAGCAGGCTTGTCTCTTAAATCATCTTTTTGTTTCTGTCCTTGATTCCAAGGACTCTGAGTGCTTTAGAGGAGCATTAGCCCAGCAGTTAGCACAGGGCATTTATTCAAGTCAAGAGAAACACACAAAGACCAATAGTGTTCATGTTTAATGAGGGTCTTTGTATTACATATGCTTGTAATGGAGAATTTCAGCTTGATTAAAACCTTCAGCACATAAGAATAAACATGCGCCTTTGTGTATGACATGGCCAAGCCGCGGAAACCTGGGTGGAAGGAACACCAGTCTGGCAGGGAGAAGTGAGTTCCAAATCTGATGAGTAAGCAAATTAGAGCAAGTCCCACTCACCCCTAAGAAAAGGAAAGAGTTGGACCAGATGAGCCTAAAACACCCTTCAGGGACTAAGGATGTATGACTTGAAGTTCAGAGCAGAAAGCCAAGCTCAGGCTGCACTTTCTCCTGCAGATGGCCTGAATCTGAACTAAGGTCCAAGGAATAGAAAGAAGTTGAAGGCCACACTGCAGACCTGGAACTTTAGCCTGAAGGCAAGGGGCAGCCCCCAAAAGTTTTGAAGATGAGTCACAGTAGGCTGGACCTGTCTCTTCCTCCTGCCAATCACAGAGGCCCCAAATCTTCTAAAATGCAGACTCATCAAGTATGCCCCTGACCCATAGAGTGTGTTTCTAACACCGTCTGACCCAAGCTGTCCTTCCTTATTCCTGCCAGTATCCCCTCCCAAAGACCTCATCGTGACAGAAGTGACAGAAGAGACCGTAAACCTGGCCTGGGACAATGAGATGCGGGTCACGGAGTACCTCATCGTGTACACGCCCACCCACGAAGATGGCCTGGAAATGCAGTTCCGGGTCCCTGGAGACCAGACGTCCGCCACCATCCGGGAACTGGAGCCTGGTGTGGAGTACTTCATTCGCGTGTTCGCCATCCTGGAGAACAAGAAGAGCATTCCTGTCAGCGCCAGGGTGGCCACCTGTGAGTGCACAGAGCCCCTCTTGGCCGTCTCAACTGCCCCCCGCCTGTCCAGTGCATAACCACCCCCACCTGCATGCGTTACTGCCTCACCCTTGCCCCACAGGTCAATGGCTGACTTCATACAGTTACACCAGCTAAAGCTCTGGAATCCAGTGATACCCACTGAATTAAAAAAAAAAAGTTGAAATATAGTTGATTTGCAATGTTAATTTCTTCCATATGACAAAGTGATTCAGCTATACACACACACACACACACACACACACACACATATATATACACAAACACATATATATATGTACACATTTTCATTTTCCTAGAGCTTACTGAATATTTTAAAGACACTCCTCACATGCTAACTCATATAACACACGATAACCCTATGAGACAGGAGCTATTGTTAACCCATTTGACAGATGAGGAAACTGAGACCCCCCCAAATGGTTAAGCCTCTTGTTCCAAACCAGTTAATAAGTGGTCGAGATGGAATTTGAACCCTGGCAGCCTTAAGTACTCTGTTCTACTATTACTTTTCTGTGGCACTCACTGTACAAATATTTAAAATATACAGAAGTGGAAACATTAAGTTTCAAGTTATTCTTCCTTTAAGAGTTCAACATCAGAAAAATCACCTCCACTTTTAAAAAGCAACTTGTGGTTAGAAATTGGTCCTTTTTTGCTTCATAAGAGTAACCTTGGCTGCTTTTTATTAAACTTGTGCTTCAGGCCAGGAACCACGGCCAGCAGTCATTGTGGAATACATCATTTGGTCTCAAAACATTCCCCAGGGGCAGGCATACTTACCCTCCTTCTCTGGGGTGAAGAAACGAAGGTTCAGGGCATTTTGTTCAACTCAACCAAGCATACCAAAGTTGTAGTGATCGACTTGATGATCATTACATATGATCAGCCCATATGTCTGATTCTAAAGTCTATGCTCATATTAAGTTTAAGCATATGAAATTACAAATATTCAATCATATGGCTGGCCCTTATATTAATTTTCATAATGCCTCAAAGTCAACAGCATCCCAGAAGAACCCTTAAAAAGACTCTAGCTCTGACGATCAACCCCATGGAGTTTAGTGGAATCATGTCTGTCCTTCCCCATCACACATGGGCTCATCCTTACCTCCTCTCTGTTCTCTTCCTGACAGACCTGCCTACACCTGAAGGTCTAAAATTCAAGTCCATCAAGGAGACATCTGTGGAAGTGGAGTGGGATCCTCTGGACATCGCTTTTGAAGCATGGGAGGTCATCTTCCGGAATACTGTAAGGAGCACAGAAGAGGAGTGGGCATGTTTGTCCATGAAAACCAGAAAGATGCTCGCGGGCTCTGCAGACTTTTCTGTCAACTCTGCTTCCTTGGCTTTGGGTGGGGGACAAGGCTCTAATTAAAAGGGCTTCCCAGGTGGCACAGTGGTGAAGAATCTTCCTGCGAATGTAGGAGACACAAGAGATAGACGTGAGTTCTATCCGTGGGTCTGGAAGGTTCCCTGGAGAAGGAAATGGCAACCCATTCCAGTGTTCTTGCCTGGGATATCCCATAGACTGAGGAGCCAGGTGGACTACAATCCATGGGGTTGCAAAGAGTTGGACATGTCTAGACACACATGAACTCAAGGCTCTAATTAGCCCCCTGTGGGTTTGCATATATTTTACTTGATTTTAAGAAGTCAAAAAACATTGCATTTAGGACTGAATGCCTAGACAAATAGATGGCAAGTCATCTCTAGGTTCTGATTACCTGTTACAGTCTTGGAAATCTCCACTCAGAGGCAAAAATGTGTATGTAATAACTGTATATGTAGTAACTGATTCTATACATCGGAAACTAACACAACATTGTAAATCAAATGTACTCCAATAGTGTTTAAACAAAGAAGAAGAAATGGTGTCTGTCTCAAGTGCCTCCAGGCATATCTGAGATTGAGCATCCTTTCTGTCTGTGCCCAAAAACACATGAGACAGGAAAGTAGGTCCCTGAGTTCAAAGCCAGGCTCTGCCACTTAGAGCTATGTGATGATGGGACAATCACCTGACTTTTAGGATGCCAGTTTCTTCACCTATGAAAGGAAGGATTGATTTCATAGCTCCAGAGTGCCTGTGGTTCTCACACCTCTCAGTTATCTTCAGTGTCAAAGGGGTGGATAGAAAGGTCTATGGGAGGGAGAGAGCATCTCGACAGATGTGTCTTTATCGTCTCTCCATCCTCAGCACCCACCATACTGACCAGATGCTTAGTAAGTGCCTAGTGAACAGATGAAAGAATGAAAGAGGAAAGAACGAACACAGAATGAATGAATCACATAAACGAAGGGTCTGACGTTGCCTTAGGCCTTACGAAGGTGCCTCTGTATTTCAGAATAAAGATGATGAGGAAGAGATCACCAAGAGCCTGCGGAGGCCGGAGACCACCTACCGGCAAACTGGCCTGGCCCCCGGGCAGGAATATGAGATATCCTTGCACATCGTGAAAAACAACACCCGGGGCCCGGGCCTGAAGAGAGTGACCACTACCCGTGAGTATTACCATCAATACCACCGTAAAGCTTGTTGTACTGCAAAGCACCTCTAGTTGATTGCATGCTCTCTTACAGAGCAGCAGGATCAATTTGCTTTTGCTGCATAAAAAACAAGCTCCAAACTTAGTAGCTTAAAACGATTGCACATTTGTGATCTGGGGCTGGACCATCTTCCTGTTCTCGACTGGACTCACTTAAAGCATCTGTGTGGGCTGGGGGACGGTTGCCCTAGGATGGCCTCAGCCAGGATGGTGTCCTTCTGCCCCACACATTCCCTCAGCCTCCCGCAGGCTAGCCTGGACCTGGCCTCACAGCAGTTGAGCAAGTTCATAACCAGCACTGGGTCACTTCCATCAAAGCAAATCTCAGGGCCAGTCCAGATGGAAAGGGTGGGGAAACAGATTCATCTCTTTATGAGAGATGCTTCAGTGTGACATTTCAAAGGGTCACTGATACAGGAAAATACCTGAGATTCTGGCAAATGATCTACCACGCCATTTGATTTAGTATTAGTAACCAGTCTTAATGAAAGAGGTAGGGCAAATATTAATGCTGTTCTTTTTCAAGAGTAGAAACTGAGGCTTACAGAAGCAGAATCAATTTAACTAACACCATGTGGTTAATCCTATCAGGGCAAGAATTTTAAGCCCAGGTTTAGTTTTATGACTTTAAACCCATTACCAATAACATTGACTAGGCTCTGGGTTATGTAGTGTTAATTCCATGATTTCAACAGGAATCTAAATAAAATGTAACTCAGTACTAAAGATGTCAGAACTTCTTGGGGGTCGATGTGGCACTGTGAGATCATTTGGTGGGCGGAATAAAAATCCTGAATTTGGAATTGTTCTACAGAGAAGCAAATTTTTATAAATAAATAAATAAAATTACTTTGTGCTGACATGTGGGAAAATCTCTTTATCTTCTGCAAGTAGCATGTATGCCAACTGCTTAAGGAATTGACTCTTCTTGGCAGGGAGTGATTGGAAAATTTACATCTGTTGACTAATGACAAGAAAGAATATCTTGCATTTAAATATTTGCACATTTTGCTGAACTCAGATCCAACAATCCAATTCATAAGACTGTCTTTTTTTATAAGCAAGTGTTTTCCATCATCTTGACAACATCCCACTGTGGTAGGTAGAAGACGGGTACCAACAAGAAAAAAAAAAAAATCATCAGAAAGGCATAGAAAAGATCAAACACAGAGACAGTACAAAAGGCATTTCTTTCTTCTGCCCTTTTATTTTTAATCTGAATTTGGGGGTGGGTTGCTTTATTTTTTTCTTCTTGCAGGACAAACACCCCAACATCTCAAGTTTCATAATCACATAAATAATAACACTGAGAGACAGATACTTACCTGTTTATTTTGCTGCTACCTGATCTTTTTCCAAATGTAAAGGAAGGATCTTAATGTTTTCATTTTCAGCTCCTTCCCTCTCAGCTCTATACACAGGTTATATAACAACCATTTCTGACGTGTAAATGTTTTTGAGAGGCACCGACGTTTAAGGAGAAGGAACATGGGTTTTGGATCCAAACAGTCCTGAGTTTGAATTCTGGCTTCACCACTCACCACCATGTTAGGCAGATTCACTTCTTTAAGCCTCAGACTTACCATCTGGAAACTGGGTTCATAGTATCTTCCTATGGCATAGTCATGAGAGTTAAGACTTAAAGGGACAAAGCACTGTGCTTGGCACACAGTAACTCAAGACCCTGTTAATCTCCTGGATTGAAGGGATCCCAATCTAGGAGAAGATCAGTGTCCTTAAGTGAATCTCTATTTCTTTAATGAAAGGGCTGTTAAGAAAGATAGTAGGTGTGGTTTGGGTGTTTCCTAGTGCCTCGAAGAACATAGAACATGAGCTTCACTGTTAAATTGCAGCATCATTTTCATTGTGCATTTTATAGTTTCATCGTCTGTGAGCTAAGACTGATGTATCAACACCTAGGTTTCAAAAAATAGACTTTGCAGGTTTCTCACAATCAACTCTGAACTATTCCTCCATCTCATTCCCTTTATAAAACCAAGTTCCTTTCATTCAATAGTGTTTTCTCATGAATGCTGAAAATACAAACCTAACTATGTTTAAAAATGAAGAAAGAAACATTGACTGGATGCCTTAATGTCTTAATTTTAGATTTGGTATGTTTTAATGCATTAAAATTTTTACATAATTAGAAAAAAATTAAAACATAGATGACAAAGCCTGACGCTTTGCTGTGGATTCAGAAAAGTCAAAGACCCACTCTCTGAATGAATGAATGACTATATAGATGGTATGACACAGTTTGAATAAACCGTAGGGAAATCTGTTTTGGAATAGTTAGAAAAGTATAATATTCAGAAGCTCTTCTTTTTTACTTTGATAAGAACACTTATCCTGAGCTCTATCCTCTTAATCCTGATGCTGGGAAAAACTGAGGGCAAGAGGAGAAGGGGATGACAGAGGATGAGATGGTTGGATGGCATCTCTGCCTCAATGGAAACACACTTTCCTGTGTGTAATACAGTATTGTCAACTAGAGGCACAATGCTATACAACACATCTCTAGAACTCAGTCATCTTACAAACTGAAACTTTTCACCCATAGAGAGGGAGTGTGTGTTTATCTGTTTGCAACAGGGTCAGAGAAGGGTTTGTGTTAGAAAGTGACATATAAGAGGGGTTTTGAAGGATGAAGAGGAGATTTCTAGGGAGAGGAGCAATCTCAGGAAGAAGAAACAGGGGAACCGAAAGTGCAGAGGCAGCAATGCACTCTTGGAGGAGAGGTACACTGTCAGAGTAGGAAGCACAAGGCAGGTGGGGCAGGAGGTGGGCGGTGGGGCAGAAAGAAGACCGAGATGAGGACTCAGAGACTGACAAGGCTTGAGATAGCCATAACCTTCTTGCTTGAATTATTTCCATCAAAGCTGACTTTCCATGCATATTATCAACACAGTCATTGCCTCCGTTTGCTGCTCCATTATTCTGATGGAGAAGTCACCAATTAGGGAGTTTTGTCTCACTGGAAAACCAGAGAGACTGAGTCAGTTTTTCAAGTGAAACAGCCCCTGTGTGTTTCTTAAATTTATGATAATGATAATAGTCTAATAATAATAATATTTATGACTATTTATCATATAACTACTATGTAGCAGGCTCTGTGCTAGATGCTTTACATGCATTATTTCCATTAACATTTGAAAAACCAAACAAACAAATAAACAAATCTACAAGGTAGCAGTCATCCTCCCTACTTATAGCTTATCAGATAGGAAACTGAGATTCCAAAAGGCAAAATAAGTCAACTGGCCAGTATACACCTAAATGTACACTCAGGCACTTGGAAGACTGCAAGCCCACTCTCTGCTCAGCCCTTGGTGCTGGCCGCAGCCTCTAAAGCTCCTGTCTCCTCTGCCTGCCACAGGCTTGGACGCCCCCAGCCAGATTGAAGTGAAAGATGTCACAGACACCACCGCTCTGATCACGTGGTCCAAGCCCCTGGCCGAGATCGATAGCATTGAGCTCACGTACGGGATCAAAGACGTGCCAGGAGATCGCACCAGCATCGACCTCACACACGAGGAGAACCAGTACTCCATTGGGAACCTGAAGCCGGACACTGAGTACGAGGTGGCCCTCATCTCCCGCAGGGCTGACATGGCCAGCAACCCCGCCAAAGAGACCTTCACAACAGGTGATGCGCCCCACTCCCGGCCGCTAACAGCCCCAGGAAAGGAGGGATCGCCAAACTCCTCCCCCATGCCATGGCGGTGTCTCTCCCAGGCTCCTTTTACGATAGAAGAAAATGGAAAGATGATTTTTATTTTAGAATACCGTAGCGGTTGATTGGTTTTTCAAAGAAAAAAAATTATCCCCAATAACCTTCTACAGATAAAGAAAACTTTTTGCCTACATAGAAGATGCTGGTCTGAGATTCTCATTTTGGTTAAAATAAAATTCAACTAAATATCGTAATAGTAAAATGTAGTATATGGAAAACATGAATGACAAAGATGCCTTCTAACCTGTTAGACTAGGGCACTGTTTTCAAGGTACCACAGTGTCAATCATACATTCACTAAATATCTTTTTCAGAGCTTGGTAAGCTCTCTGTAAATCATTAAAAATCAAGTGATGAAGACAGCAAACCTGTTCTTCAGTCACAGAGCCAATTTGCAAGTTTTTGTGTAGTTCTTATGAAGTACAAAATCAGTGGCAAACATGAATGATTGAGGTATCACAGTGATTTAATATTGAAGAAAGTGTCCAGTGTGTAGTATTTGTCCAGATGCGTGCTTTAGCTGTTGAGTCAGAGGGCTGAGTGGGTCATTTATCTCCAGTGGCAGGCACCTTTCACGTCTCACCATGAACTATCAAGGACTCCCAGTCTCCCGAGCCTGCTGTTCTCAGTACCAATGCCCTTTCCTCTCCCAAACAGGCCTGGATGCTCCCAGGAATCTCCGCCGCATCTCCCAGACAGACAACAGCATCACCCTGGAGTGGAGGAACGTCAAGGCGGCCGCCGACAGTTACAGAATCAAGTATGCACCCATCTCTGGAGGTGACCATGCCGAGGTAGAAGTCCCCAGGAGCCAACAGACTACAACCAGAACCACACTCACAGGTGAGCTCCACCTCCCCGACCCAACCCACCCTGGGGGCATGTCCCCACCTTGCAAACCTCCAGAGAGAGAAAAATAGCCAGTTCCCCATTGCCCCTCTGACCTGGGCATCAGTGAGTCAGGCCGTGGAACAGTCCAGCCGTTGAGAAATCGTAGCCTTCAGGACCTAGCTCAGGGGCCTTTTTATGGTCCTCCAAAAGTTTGTCCAGCTTTGGACTGAATCTCAACCTGCTCGTTCTCTCCTAGGGCTGAGGCCAGGAACTGAATATGGGATTGGAGTGTCTGCTGTGAAGGGGGACAAGGAGAGTGACCCAGCCACCATCAATGCGGCCACAGGTGAGCTGCCTGGCTTCCCACCACCACGGGACAGGCACTCAGACACGACAGGGAACAGGAGGCAGGACACCTACTTAAAAACAAGTAGATGCCCAGAGGAAAACAAGGCTTCTAGGATCATCCAGCCCAGATGTTCACATTCAAAAGGAGCATAAGCCCCTGGCATCCAATGCTGACCACTTATACATATCCATTTTTTATCTTTCTATTTGGAGGTAATTGTAGATTCACATGCACTATAAGACAGAATACAGAGAGATCTGTGCCCTTCCTCTAGTTTCTCCCAATGTAACATTTGTGTAAATTGAGAACACTATCACAACCAGGAAATTGACACTGATATAATCTATCAAGTTTATTCAGATTTCACTGGACTGTGTGTGTGTTTGTATGTGTATATTTAGTTCTATGAACTTGGGCTAACTCCAGGAGATGGTAAGGGACAGGGAGGCCTGGCGTGCTGCAGTTCATGGGGTCTCAAAAGGTCAGACATGTCTTAGTGACTGAACGACATTTAGTTCTATGTAATTTATCACCTGTAGATTTGGAATCCCCCACTTCAGTCAAGAACGAAGAGTTGCATCACATTGAGTCCTTGCTACACTTTCCTATCACCATGGTCACCACCCTCCCTCCACTTCACCTTAACCCTTGGCAGTCACTGATCTGGTCTTTGTCCAGTTTCAAGAATGCTACATAAAAGGAATCATACAAGGAATCATGCAGCACACAAACTTTAGAGACTGACTTTTTCACTCAGAATAATTCTCTTTACCCACAAGGGAAGCCCCATAATTCTCAGCATGAGTGATTATGAAGGTCCCTCAATTATGTCTGATTCTTTGTGATCCCATGAACTATAACTGGCTAGACTCCTCTGTCCATGGAATTTTTCAGGCAAGAATACTGGGGTGGGTTGCCATTTCCTTCTCTAGGGGATCTTTCGACCCAGTGACTGAACCTGGGTCTCCTGCATTAGAGGCAGATTCTTTACCATCTGAGCCATCAGGGAAAGAAAGGAAAGGAAAGTGAAGTCGCTCAGTCATGTCCAACTCTTTGCAACCCCATGGACTGTAGCCTACCAGGCTCCTTCATCCTTGGGATTTTCCAGGCAAGAGTACTGGAATGGGTTGCTATTTCCTTCTCCAGGGGATCTTCCCAACCCAGGAATTGAACCTGGGTCTCCCGCATTGTAGGCAGATGCTTTACCATCTGAGCCTCCAGGGAAGTCCTAAGCCACCGGGGAAGCCCCACTAATTCTCTTGAGATCCATCCAAATTGTGTCTTATGTCAGTAATCAGCTCCTTCTAAATGCTTTTGCATATCATCTCATGGTATGGATATATCACGATAATATTTTTAATCTTCCCAAAACACAATGAGGTACCGTACACCGGCATTTCACACAGGTGAAAACTGAGACTCGGGTGAGATGCCTGAAGCCACACAGCCCCACAGCAGTCCTAGGACTGTGGCCCACAGCCGCCCTTCAGTCCCAGAAGCAGCCCTGCCCTGAAGCCTGAAGGGTGTTCATCTCTCTGTTTTCCTCCCAGAGTTGGACACACCCAAGGACCTTCGGGTTTCTGAACCTACGGAGACCAGCCTGACCCTCCTCTGGCGGACGCCGGTGGCCAAGTTTGACCGTTACCGCCTCAACTACAGTCTTCCCTCGGGCCAGCCTGTGGAGGTGCAGCTCCCCAGAGACACCACCTCCCACGTCCTGAGAGGCCTGGAACCTGGGCGCAAATACACCGTCCTGCTCACAGCAGAGAAAGGCAGACACAAGAGCAAGCCGGCACGGGTACAGGCGTCCACAGGTAAGGTGGGTGAGCTCTGAGCTCTCTCCAGACCTTCTGATGACTCTGTGGCTGGCAGACCCATCAGCCAGGTTGTCTTCAAATGAAAGATCAGATGGGAAGACGAGGGACTTTCTCCACTCATGAATCCTCTAAATGCCATTTGAGTCACTTACACATCTTTTCCTCTTGTCCACTGACATGTCCATAGTGAAGTTCCCTAGCTGGACAATCAATAATGGCTTTTAAATATTTCTTCCTAGGAGAACTTAAAGCGTGAGAGTTTGTGCTTGCCTTTGGTTCTTTTTGTTTTAATTTTGTGTTTTCATAGAAAGGAATGTTATTTTTTTTTCTTGTTTTCCCCCTCTTTAGCACAATCCATTAACTTTTCATTTTATTTCTTTTCAAGATGACCAAGAGGTTTGGACTAATTCTTTGGTTATTTCCCATTAAATATTTTTCTTCCAGGTCTTTTGCTCTCCTCTCAGGTTACCTGGAATGCCATATACAGTCCTGTGAGCCTGTCGCAGAGCCCTTCTCATTTTCCTCTTACTCATTAAGTGATGAACTTTGTTTATCCATGACAGCTTAATCCTGACCTCCAGTATCCCTTGCAGTCCAAGTATCCTGTTCTTTGTACCTGCTCCCATGTTTCTTCAATGGCTAGATTGGAAAAAAAAAATCAGTTCTTCTTTTATGAATATGCATATTTAACTTTGGCTCCCAAATAGTCAAGAGATATAGGTGGAAAATGTTAATTCTTCAGAATATGATAAGGGTTTAGTTTCAATTTAATTAGTATTTATTGAGAACCCATTGAATACATGGTATCATGCTGATATTTGAAGCACTATTATTTTGACTCATGTGCTCCTGCTCTTCGTCTGTGGGGAAGACCAGATAGAGTATTAGGTGAAACTTGCCCAAGGAAAGGAAGTAATTGGGGTAATTAGGATAAGCCAGAGAAAGTGTCTTGGCAGAGACACTATTCCAGCTGAATTTCCATAAGCAGAAAAGGGGTTGCGGTGATGGGCATATTTGGAAATGCCTTGAAGAGTCTTGGTCGTTTATAAATACTTTCACCTACACATAACGGAAATCTCAAATAACAGAACTTTAGCAAGACACAAGGTGGTTTCCTCCCTCATAAAGTAAGTTGGAGGTTAGGTGGTTCAGTGCTGGCACAGCAATTCCAGATTATCAGGGATTTGGGCTCCTTCTATCCTTCTGTTCCACTAGTCTAAGTCCTTGGCATGTATTCTCAAAGCCACCTCCATGTCACAATATGGTTGCTTCAGTCCAGCCTTCACATCTGTGTTACAGGCAGCATGAAGGAGAAAGAAACAAAAACAAAAGATAGCACCTCCTAGATGAGTCCTTCTGGAATCCTCACCAATGACTTCTTCCATTTTATGGGCCACTTCTAGCTGTAAGTAAGTCTAGGAAAGGTAGTCTGAGCTGTGTGCATTGCTGCCCACATAAAATTGTAGCAGTTTGTAAGGAAGAGGGGGTGGGTATTTGGTAGGCAAAGAATAGCCTCTTCAGAAGGGACTTCAGCCTGCCAGGCTCCTTTGTCCATGAATTTTCCAGGCAAGAATATTGGAGTGGGTTGTCATTTCTTTCCTCAGCAGATCTTCCTCACCCAGGGACTGAACCTGGGTCTTCAGTGTCTCCTGCACTGGCAGGAGAGTTTTTTGGGTTTTTTGGGGTTTTTTTACCAGCTGAGCTATAGATCCATTTGCTAAAGTGAACTTAGGTGGTCACTTCTATTGACTCTATGCATGGACTGCTTCCACCCAGTTATGAGATGGATCCTTGGGTGGGGCAGGGGTAGCTTCATCATAGATGAGGTGAAGAGAATAAATTGGAAAGAAAGAAATCTATGGTAGAGATTTAAATGGTTCAGCTTGTTAAACATGAGCTTGTTGCAAGATGTGAAGGGGCAACAAATGAATCAGAGAAACAAGAGAAAGATTTCTTCTTCTTTTCCTCCTCCTCCTCTTCCTCCTTCCTTCCTCCCTCTCTGTCTCCCTCTCTCATTCCTTCTCCCTCAGCTTCACAAATGCTACATCATAGAGGATTTCCTGGCTCCTCTCAGGCATCTTACCCTCTGGCCATGACCACTTCATCGCTTATCTCCAGTAGGGAATCCCCAGGCTTCAGCAGCTCAGGGAGATGAAAGCTTTCAAGTGAATCACAGGCTGGAATTACTTTGCCTCTGACTAAGAGCCCGGTTTAGCATCGCGGAGGCTCGGCAGTTTCATTTTCCCAGCCGTGCCTTTTTAACACCGTTTCAAAGAAATCACATTGTATATTTAAAAACATTCCTCACTCATTACAAAAAAAGTTGTGCAAAGTTCCTTTTATAGGTTCTTCCTCCACTGTCTCTGGAATATTTCTCTCTATGGCTTTCTCCATAGAACTATTTTATTTCATTAAGAGGGAGGTGGATATTTCTGTCTCCTGAAGTTATCTTCCCAATAAATATCTCATACGATATCTTCCCAGTAAATATCTCCCACATTTACTCAGTCAGTAATGCACTACAGCCACGTTCCATGCTAAGTTCTGGGGATACTAGAGCAATGAAGACAGGTCTGTGTTCCCAGGAAGCTCACTAGTAAACAGACACTTTCATTGCTGTAACTGGGGCTGTGGGCGTGCAGTGGGAGCAAAGGATTCCTTCTAAGTATCAAGAAAGGTTTAATAAGGGGCAAAGCCTTTGGGCAGACACAGAGGAGGCAAGCAGGACTGTGTTGTGGAATACATAATGAAGTAGAAGTCCAGGCACTTGGCCTTGCTAAATACATGGGGAGAAAAAAGAAACAGGGACAGTGGAAGCCCTCGGGGGAATGTACCATGTGGCTCTGAGCCTTGAAATGTCAAAGGGCTGTAGGTTCAAACTCAGAAGAAAGGGGTTCCCAGCTCTGCCTCCTAGATTCTCAATAGCAGAAGTCTGCTCACTGTCTATGAGCTTTACAGAGAAAATGAGAAATCGGCTGCCCCAAAGCAGTTTCCCCAGAGAATTCCAGGACTCTAGTCATAGCATTGAGCCAAAGCACAAGCCTATTCCTGGATGCAGCATCAAGTTAAAAGTATGCATTACCTGACTGCCCATCATATCTGAAATATAATGCAGGGACCCTACCCCAGGCTGCACAGCCCTAAATAATCTGGTCTCTCCCATCGCCCTGACTTGGCTTGCTCCCACCACTTGTCCGCTTGCTCATTTCACTGTGGTCACCCTGGCCCTCTTACCGTTCCTTACATACGCCAAGCTGGCTCCTACCTGAGGGCCTTTGCACATGCTTCTGCTGCTGCCTATATTCCCTTCCTCTCCCAGGTCTTCACCCAGCACCTCCCTCATTTCATTCAGCTCAAGTGTCATCTCAAAAGACCTTTCTGTCTGCCACTCTAAAAGGATGTCCTGTCCTCATTTACCCCTTCAGACTGTTCCAGAGTTCCTTATGACACCTACCTGGCCTGATAGCACTCAATATTTGGTTTACTTACCTATGGCCTGCCTCCTGCGTGCGTGCGTGCTAAGTCACTTCAGTCGAGTCTGACTCTTTGAGACCCTATGGACTGCAGCCCCAGGCTCCTCCGTCCATGGGATTCTCCAGGCAAGAATGCTGGAGTGGGTTGATACGCCTTGCTCCGTGGCCTGCCTCCTTCTTCCAACCAGAATGTAAGGCCTCTGTCTCTTTTACTCAGTGCTGTGACCCCAGCACCTTGAACACGTGGCATCGGCTTCAGGAGTCTTTGGGGACCCCAGCTCCTCCAGAGGCAGTATTTCCATAGAATCTTCTGGTCTTATGATTTCACCCCTGTAGCAACAGCCCAAATTCTCTCCCTTAAGAATTAAGGGAAGGGAAGTCATTCTCCTGGAGTCTTTACTTAAGCTTGTGCTCAGTCATGTCCGACTCTTCGCAGCCCCATGGACTGTAGCCCACCAGTTTATGGGACTTTCCCGGCAAAAATACTGGAGTGGGCTACCATTTCCCTCTCCATAATTAAGCTTACTCTGGAAATAGTGGGAGGAAAGAAAGAAGGAAAGACAGGATGGAGGGAGAAAGGAAGAGGGAATAAAGGAAGGAAAAAAATTTAAAAAGGCACTAGTGGTAAAGAACCTGCCTGCCAATGCAGAAGACCTAAGAGATGCAGATCCAATCCCTGGGTTGGGAAGATCCCCTAGAGGGGGGCATGGCAACCCACTCCAGTATCCTTGCCTGGAGAATCCCATGGACAGAGGAGCCTGGAGAGCTACAGGGCATAGGGTCGCAAAGAGTCAGACATGACTGGAGCAATTTAGCACGCACACATCCCTGTTAGCACTAAACAAAATTAGTGTGTTCCAGGTGCCTCTCCCACACCCAGCACCTGTATTCTAATAAACTCAACAAAACCCTGCTTGAAGTGGAGGCCATGATTTGCTGTGAGCAGTAAGGGACATAAAACAGGGAGAATATGCAGATACACAAGGCCGATAAAGCATCTTTACACACCATGTAAGACTCAACAGTGATACCCTCATAATTCTCAAGGGTCTGGGGAAGCAGAGAGGTGGAATTTTGTTTTTAGCAACAGCTGCAAGTAATAGAGAACACTCTGCTCTAATTGGCCTCTTTGATTTTTCTCATGGAGCAAACTGAAATTTAGTCAAATATTTATCCATCCCACAAATATTTATTTCTTACCTGCCATGGGTCAGGCAGCACTGGCATAGAGAACAGAAAGACCCAACCCCTCCCCTCAGGAAATGATGCATACTGCAATGAGAACAGAGAATCAAAACCAAAATTATAAGACTGTGACTAGTTTGTTTAGAGGCCAGTGTGGGAAGCTACAGGAGCACAGAGGCAAATATCCATCCCAGACCTGAGCAAAGTGAAGGCAGGGTATCAGAGAAGACTTCTTGGGAGAGGTGGTACTTTACTGAGTCCTCAAAAAGAAACAAGAATTGGGCAAGTGGAGAAGGGAGTGATGACATTTCCAGCTAGAGGAACAGCATGTGAGAAGTTCAAAAACGTGAGAAACTTTATGTTAGCGCAGCGCCAGCCATACAGTCTGCTGTATGATGGAGCTGGAGAGAACAGAGTTCAAGGTCACAGACATCATCAGTATCTTCTGCAAAGGGCAGTGAAGATCATGCTAAGGGGCTTGGGTTTCATTCTTGACAGTGTTAAGAGTCCCCCAAAACTGTTAGAGCAGGCAAAGCTTTGAATTTCCATTAACTTTACAAGAGGAGATCAAAACAATTTAATCTCCCCTTGGGTGGTCCTCAGGCTTGAATTTGGCCATTCTGCGGCTGTAGGAGAATCATTCTGTTTCCCATCAGTGAGCATTAAAAGCCGCTGTCTCATCAGTCAGCACTTGGTAATGACCATCTGCATGATGGTGGAAATCTAAAGATTTAAAGTTGGCACAGCCTGAAATTCCTCCAGGCCAGCTGGTCAACTCACCATGAGCCCAGAAATGAGATTTTGAAATTCTGATTTCCCAGGCCCACTGACATTGTTCAGAGGGTAGATGCCAGTGCACAGCTGTAAGAAAAAAGACAACAGCCTTTTCATAAAGAAAGGCCAAGAAATTCAGTGTGGAATATACGACGGAAACACTGGGCTTCTGGGGCAGTAAGCCCATAAGTATGTCATTTGCTATTGAAATGCAGAGTCCGCATTTACGTGGAGCCCGGTCTCCATCTCCAGTGTTGTCTGCTGTATTATTCCCTCTCTTCTCATAATTCTTACCCACCTCCCTTTATTTTAACTACTGATTTTACTCATTGTAATTCCACTTTTATTTATCTGTGCAGCATTTGTTTATTGAAGTGCTTTGGGTAGGGCACCAATAGCCAAAAATCTTTGTGAACTATTATAATAGTAAATGACTATTATCATTTACTGAGCAACATGACATTATACAAAAATTACTCTACCAGCTGTACCAAGCGATGAAGCAGAATATGAGGGACATTGTATAATAGTATCTGAGGCATGGACAAAAGCTGATGCAAAGAGAAAAGATGGTTCTCATGAGAAAGAGACATTTTCTAAGGTGGATCTCCTCTTCTCTTCAATCATCTTTACTGCAGCAGCTTAATAGACAATCTGTAACCCTCCCTTGCCTGATTAGGTAATTCTTCCCACATCTCTTGCAACCTGGTATCTGAAATTTCTTCCATGGGGAAAAAAAATATGTATTTTATGTCATAATTTAGAGAGAGAGCTTAAAAAGCAGTTACCTGAGAGGAAACACACTTAATTCACATGAAGGGGATCAACTGTCTATGTCAGCTAAGTCCCTGACAAGCAGTTTTGACAGCAGCAGGAGAAAGAAAAAAGAAGAAAGTGGGATAAAAAAGGAGAGTTTATGAGCCACAGAACTGATTCCCTTAGCTTTACAGTCTGACTTAGATTGGTTTTCATCCCATGTCTCTTTATGGATGAGGGCTCTTGGCATATTTGAAAAGGTCACACTCCTGAGTCTAGTTGTGCTGAAAGTCCAAGTTCAAGGAAATAATCGCTACTCCTGGAGCACTGTGCCAGCTGCACAGAGGCCATTGGGTCGAAAGGTGGCTGACCATTTCTCCTTTCTTTCCCCAGAAGTATGGATAGATACATCACTTTGAGCTTGGAGCCCTCTCTTCCTCACCTACACCCTGAGATGTGGTTTGTATGGTTAAGACATGTCTGTGTGGTCTCGGACAAGGGTTCCAGGAAACAGATTTGGGTTAAATGAAGTGTCTATAAGAATGACGGTCAAGGTCAGGTATGGCATATACTTTCTGAAAGGACTGTCAGTATTTTAGACTTTTCAGGCCATACAGTCTCAGCTCTGCTGTTGCAGCAATGCAGCACATGAGCAGCCATCAGCAGTACGTGGACGCACAGGCATGGCTGCGTTCCAGTGACATTTTACTTGTGACATCAAAATTTCAATCTCATTCATTTCATCTTTATGAAGTGTTCTTCTTTAGATTTTTCTAACCGTTTAAAAAATTTAAAAGTGTTGTTAGCTCACTGATTACCAAAATAGGCAGCAGCCTGGATCTGACCCTCAGATCCTAGTTAGCAGTCCCCTGTTCTAGACCAAACAGGATTTGAAGTAGTGTCAGCTTTTGCCAAAGTAGAACAATCAGGAAGAACATTCCCCAGAAAGTAGCAAAGTCTGAATCAAATAGATTTTGGAGAAGAAACGTTTTTTCCCTCTGAACCGATATCTTCAATCTAACTGCAGGCTAAGATTTTCAAATGAGAAGTCAGCTTTAGTGGACACATGAGGCTGCTTTGAAATAAGCAGCTATATAAAGTATATATGGAGAGAAACAGCACATTCACTTATATGAACTCAAGGCAGTTCTTACTCCGTTGTTTAGAGGATGTTTCCAGAGAAAGTTCTTTCTTCCCAGCTGATGCCAAGACCACTTAGGCTCAGTCCTGGGAGAATTATCACCTTGAAGTGAGACATGTGAGTGTTCTGTGCTGTGCTTGTTCCAGAGATGAATAAAGATAGCAAATTCAGCTTTAATTGAGCTTAATAACTATTTCTCCCAGGGCATTTCTTTCTGTCCAATGAAGGAGAGCTTTGCAGAGACTCAGCTCTCTGTTCAGGATAGCCTTAGTGTCCCATGTTAATTTATCTCTGATCTGTCCACAGTGGTTTATGTAAACTGATTTGAGCCCCACAAACTGACAAAAATCCCAGCATAAAGAGACTGTGAAACATGCCTTCCCAGGGAGATGGAGAAAGTGCAGAAAGGAAGGGACTCTAAGAGGAGCCAATTTTCTCAAAATACAGCAGGCTGGCCAGCTCAGACTAAGGATCCCAAGAGGAGCAGCTGAAGGCTTTTCTTTGTGATCTCATCCTTAGGATGAGAGACACTTTTCAAAATGGAAACTGCAGCCTAGAGCAGTGCCAACGCAGACGTGTAACACTTTCTAAATCCACAGGACGCTGGTCAATGGAAAAACATTTTCAAAAGACAAACCCCAGTACGCAACAAGGGAAAGTAAGTATTATATTGAGTTTCCTGCTAGTTAGCATTTTGACAGCGACCGCATGGCTCAGGGGTGCGGTGAGTGAAGCAGGAGACCCGGCCCCCCGGCCCCTCAGCACCTGAAGTGGGTGTGCATTTCTGAGTTCCCAGACGGAAAGCGTTTTAGGCATGGTTTAACAGACCCCATCTCTTGTCATTATTCAGACCGCGCCCCTGAACTGGAAAACCTCACCGTGACCGAGGCTGGCTGGGATGGCCTCAGACTCAACTGGACCGCAGCGGACCAGGCCTACGAGCACTTTGTCATTCAGGTGCAGGAGGCCGACGGGGTGGAGGCGGCTCGGAACCTCACGGTGCCCGGCAGCCTGCGGGCTGTGGACGTCCCGGGCCTGAAGGCCGCCACCCCTTACAGAGTCACCATCCACGGGGTGATCCGGGGCTATAGGACCCCAGTGCTCTCTGCTGAGGCCTCCACAGGTACCGCTTACCTTTCTGAATCTAGCTTCTGTTTTTCCCAACAGGAAACTGCCCAAGGATAATCAGACGCAGCTCGTTTCTAACCAGACTTGAATACCCCAAATTATAGCACTATGGTGCCTAATAATGGGAAAAAATCAGGCTGCCCGGCTCCTGGGGCAGCTCTCACAGTGCCTGTCATGTGACCCACAGTATTCGGGGCTCTGCAACGCCCAACCTGGGGACTATGTACTGAGCCCCAGCTGCAGGGCCCTGGGCTTCACAGGCTTCCTCCTGGGGAGGGAGGCTAAGGCATTATATCTAAAAGGAAAGATAATCATAATAATCTTCTTGTCTTCTGCAGGCAAGGGCAGTTCCTTAATAAAATAAGATCACGAATGTTTTCCTACACCTCACCCCATCGACTGTATTTCTCAAATTTAGGAAGCTACGTGATGCACGGCTCTCTAAAGAAAGTCGCATTCCTTTAAAAAAGTCATGTCAGGCCTGCTCTTCCATTACAGGGTCCCTGGATCAGCGTGTGCAATTTGATCATTAAACGAGTTCTTTGTCCTTCTCCAGGAGACACTCCCCACTTGGGAGAGGTCACGGTGTCCGAGGTGGGCTGGGAGGCCCTCAAACTCAACTGGACGGCTCCGGAAGGAGTCTACGAGCAGTTTCTCATTCAGGTGCAGGAGCCTGGCACAGAGGAGGCAGCCCAGAACCTCACTGTCCCTGGAGGGCTGAGGTCCGTGGACCTGCCTGGGCTCAAGGCAGCCACTCCCTATAGCATCACCATCCGCGGGGTCACTCGGGACTTCAGCACAGCCCCTCTCTCTGTTGAAGTTTTAACAGGTACTCTAGACTGCTTCACTAACTTGCTTCCTCCAGCTTAGGAGGGATCCACGCTCTTCCCTGCTCTGAACTGGGCTTCGCTCCTACTCCAGGGGGGAGTGCCGTGATTCTCCCAGAGGTCCTGTCCCTTGTTTGGCCAGGTCCTAGTCCTAGCCTGGGAGCCAATTCCATGGAAAGCTCCATGTTCTCTTCTCTTGCATAAATTAAGAGGTGACTTTTCTTGCAAAGCAAGTTTCAGCCATATTATCTAAGAAGTTGGAAAGCACACTTGGCGAGTGGGGGAAAAAAATAATTGATATGAGCTTATTTTAAGAACGCACCAAAGGACTCCCTGAAGCCCCATCTGTATGTCAACAATGGAAGTTGTGAACAATTCTGAGAACTGTCTATGAAAGACAAAGGCTGGCTAGAAAGGCCCTGGCTTCAGTGCCAACAGCTAGAGTATGCTGGACACCTGCTGTAAATCACACATCTGTGATCCACACCAGCCAGACAGCTCTCCCAGCCTCAGCCTCCATGCCATCTCAGCTGAATCCCGGAATGCCATCGCCTTTTTTTAGTAACTCGACAACCCTGTCTCCTTGTGCAGAGGAGGCTCCAGGTCTGGGGAACCTCACAGTGGCCGAGGTTAGCTGGGATGCCCTCCGACTGCACTGGACCAGCCCCGATGGGATCTATGAGCAGTTTGTCGTTAAGATCCGGGAGACTGACCGTCTCCAAGAAGTTCACAATCTCACGGTTCCTGGCAGCCAGCACACCGTGGAGATTCCAGGCCTCAAAGCTGGTACCTCTTACACAATCACCCTGCTCGGCAAGGTCAGGGACCGCAGCACTCAACCCCTTGCTGTGGAGGTCATTACAGGTATACAACCCTCTTCACCACACCAGGGACCCCAGCCTGTCATTGGAATAGAGAAAATTCCCCATGAGTCAGGGACTACTCTCAAAGCTGTTGGCAGTCAGCATGAACACATGCTCTAACTCCGGAGGGTCTGAGTTGGAATTCCACCTTACTGGCTGCATATTCTTGGGTATCTCATTTTATAGCTCCGAGCCTTCTTTTCTCACCTTTGAATAAGAGATAATACTCTGGCCTCAGAACACTGTCATGAGCAGTAAATGAGGTAATGAATGAAAGTACTTCGCAAGGCACCCATTCTGTAGTAAATTTTGAATGGCAAATAGCTAAATTTATCCAATAGCAACATATCATAGTATAATTAACATACACAGCAGGGCTGCAACACAGAATAAGGTCAGAAGTTTCTAGAGAAATCTTAAAATTAGTGGCCTCAGAGTCACTGATGGCCATCCATCTGGTAGTCAGACTGCTGCAGAATAACCTCTGAAATGATCTATCATCATCTGCTGAAGTTAGCCAAGTCTGTCTCTCTCTCCTTAGCAGATCCTTGAAGCAGGGCAAGAAAGGACAGTCATGTTGGACTTCAATGTTTTAGATTCAATTTGGAGAGGAAAAACAATTCATCTCAATTTGTCCCCTGAAAATATGCAACTCCATCTGTTACAGAAAACTGCTGGTCATGAGGTTGCTAGAAACAGCTCTAAAATGATCATGGAGAAATGGGTCTGATTTGGGGGATTAGGGGTTTTATGGGCTTTCCTTGTGGCTCAGCTGGTAAAGAATCTGCCTGCAATGAGGGATACCTGGGTTTGATCCCTAGGTGGGGAAAATCCCCTAGAAAAGGGAAAGGCTACCCTCTCCAGTATTCTGGCCTGGAGTGTTTTTATGCTTGGCTCTAAGCCCATGCCCTTCTCTACATGTCCTGTGTTTTAATCCCACCCAAATAACCTAATCAAATGAATTGTTCTTGCTGAGATATACTGAATAAAACTGGTCCTTGCTAGAAACTATATAAGAAAAGTTATGTAACAGTACACCTTAACTGGCCAGATTATCAATGGCCTGTGTTTCCTGAAATATTATCAAACCAAACAGGAGCAAAAGGGGCCTTTGGGACACATGGGATCTCAGAGCAGGGTATAGTGATCTACATCTGTAGTTTATAAACTTTGTGTTTTTAGCAGTAGAATTCTTTTTGCATGGGCAGTCTTACAAGTAGACCCACTATATGACAAGTAAATGAGCAGCTATTCTTGGTGAGCTGGGAAGGAGGAGAGGGCCATCTGCACCCATGTCTCCAACCCAGTTCTTCCATAAAAGGACCAGTTCCACAGTCTAAATGCAGCCCCTCCAAAAGGTCCGGTTTGCCCAGATTCCCCATAAGCACCGAATCCTGGAATACCTGAGAACCAGTACCTCATACTTTTTCTGACTGAAATCTCGCAAATGTTTTCTTTTCTGACTTTGAATCCATGGTCACTTCAACCTCAAAAGAAAAAAAGGGGGGGGGGGTGGCTGGGAGATTACATTTAACCCTGAGCAGCGGTGAGTTTTTCCTTATCTGGAACCCAAACTTTCTAAATCAGTAATGACTGCATTAAATCTCCTTCCTAAATTGTTCAGTTCAGTCGCTCAGTCGTGTTCAACTCTTTGTGACCCCATGAACCGCAGCACGCCAGACCTCCCTGTCCTACATTGTAGAAAGATGAATAGTGGGTGCTGCTCTGCACCATCTGCAGAGCAAAACATAATTTTAACTTTCAATTAAGAGTAGACACTCATTTCACACTCAGGGCCTTGCTTTGTGAAGCAAACATTCTTCATTCAGATGCAAAGTGCTGTCAGGAGAAGCCGGGAGGGAACGTGCCAAGCCAAGAACCCAGTATGGAAACTTTGATCCCTGACAGATGAGAAAAGTCTGGAGATAAGACATCAGACTTGTCCAAACCTGATTCAGCACATGATTTGTGCGCCCAGTCAGCTAGCCTCTGGGCAGCAAAGAGAGGATCTCTCCAGAGTTCAGTGATGAGACGAAGTGGGGAATTCTCTCCCCTGTGACCAAGAAGTTCCAAGGAGAAACATCAAAACATCTCTGTATCCGTGGGTTCCACATTCTCAAATTCAACTAACCAACATCAAAAATATTAGGGACAAGAATTTCAGGAAGCTTCAAAAAGCAAAGCTTGAATTTGCCATGTGCTGGTAACTACACACATAGCATTTACATTGCATTAGGTATTATAAGTAATCTAGAGATGATTTTTAAAGTAAACAAGAGGATGCCCATAGGTGATATGCAAATACCGCATCATTTAGTGTGCATCCTCAGTTTGTTATCTGTGGAGGTCCTAGAACCAGTCCGCCAAGGATACCAAGGAACAAACGTATATCTGTTGGGCCACCACTTATCCAGCCCTCACTATATGTCAAGTATGATGTCAGGTGGTTGTCAGGTATAATCTTAGAGGTTTATCAATATTATCACTCAGTCACCACACATTCCAATGAAATGATGTGTGCTGTCAGCTCCAATTAAAGATGAGGAGAGCAAGGCTCAGAGTTGAGTTAGGTGACATGACCCAGATTATGCAGCTAGCAAACAAAGAGTGTTGGAATTCTAACCAAGGCCCATTTGCCTCCGAAGTCCGTGTGTGGGGGGTGTTTGCTGCTCAGTCATGTCTGACTCTTCGCAACCCCATGGACTGTAGCCTGCTAGGCTCCTCTGTCCATGGGGTTCTCCAGGCAAGAATACCAGAATAGGTTGCCATTTCCTCTTCCAGGGGGTCGTTCTGACCCAGGGATGGAGCCCAGGTCTCCTGCATTGCAAGCGGATTCTTTACCATCTGAGCCACCCTGTACTTTTAACCAATTCCTACTTCCCTTACCCTGACCCACAACGCCACCTTTTCCACGGCCTTTTAGGTGCTAGTCATGCATGGTCCTCAGAGACCTCCCAGTGGGTTGTCAATGGTTGAAAATATTCTGGGAAATATTGGCATTACCAAGTCAAGGATAAACAACACAGATGATCCCCTCTCTGACCATCTTTATCTCCCTAAGAAAGCTGTGGCCAGTTACCGCAGTTCAAACTGAAAATTCCCTGAGATCAGGAATGCTCACACACACACAAACACAAGAAAACCTTTTGCCCCTTTCTGTCTTCCCTCGAGCTGGGCTGTGGGACGTTCCTTCCTCACGTTTGGTTGGCAGGACTGACGCATTCCTCTCTGTCCTTCTTCAGCGGAGCTCCCCCAGCTGGGAGACTTAGCCGTGACCGAGGCTGGCTGGGATGGCCTCAGACTCAACTGGACCGCAGCGGACCAGGCCTTTGAGCACTTTGTCATTCAGGTGCAGGAGGCCAACGGGGTAGAGGCGGCTCAGAACCTCACGGTGCCCGGCAGCCTGCGGGCAGCGGACGTCCCGGGCCTGAAGGCCGCCACCCCTTACAGAGTCACCATCCATGGGGTGATCCGGGGCTATAGGACGCCAGTGCTCTCTGCTGAGGCCTCCACAGGTACCTGTTCTCCCTGCCCAGGGTGATTTCTCTCCAAGAGATCGTGCGAGGAGTCAGCTTGCATCCATACCTAAATCCTTTCCATGTGCCCATTAGCTGCTGACCTTGCATGCTCAGAGACCTGCCCGTGGGCTGTGCCTTGGTCCAGATGCCTTTGACATCTCAGGAATGTACGTGCAGATGTGGCCTTTTCTGACCTCTAACCTCCCCCAGACCTTACCTGTCAAGTCCTATAACTGCATCTCTTTTGAATGACAGCTTTCCATTTCATGATCCAGCTTGATGGTCTCCATTCGCTTCCCTTGTGATTGGATTTAACCAAAAGCCAACCTCCCCACTTGTGAGTTCTGATGGAGCACATGTTATTTACTGTAGTCTTTTTGTTGGAAGTTGGAAATGGTGCTTTACTATCCCAAATCCCTCAAGGATATGGGCACCGTGGTTCTTGCATTTAAAAAGAAATGTTTTTATTTAAATGTTTCTCTAAAATGAACTGAGTATAATAAGAGAACTGAATTACCCTCTTCCAGGCAGTTCTCTCAGATACTGAGTCATTGTCACAACATCAAATTAGCAAATAGCTAGACCAGAAAAGAAAAAAAAAAAGATCACACAATTATGACTGGAGACTGTACCAAAGAAAAAGCCATTCATTAGCAGAAGTACACACAGAAGCATTTGAAGCAAAGAATGCCCCAGGCTATGAATGTCAAAGATCTGATGCCCTTTTTGTTCTTTTAATCAAGAGTTGCTCCCTGGACTATTGGCCTTTGGATGGCACACTCTCAGACCAGACCCAGGAGGGTGTGCTTTGGTTTACTCATCAGTCTGATCCAATGACAGAGCATTCAGTGTTTCCCTGGACCTTGCTCAAGAGCGCAGCCCTCCCTGGCCCTGGTTTCCATGGCCCATCTTCCCTGTGCCTCCATTGGTCTGAAGTTGAGCAGAGGCTGTTTGGTTTGGTTTTGAATGTGCCTTTCCCATTTTCCAATAATTATTGCAACTTAAATTTTGTGTGAACTTTTATGTCCTAGTTGATTCTACTAAAAACATAGCTCTCCTTTTCACCCCCCACCATTTCAATAATGCTCGCTGATACAAACATACAGCACAGGCAACTGATGTATGAATGCTGACCCTGAAATACCTAAAAATTGCAGCGGAGGCTGCCCTGGATAGACCCGGGGCCCTTTTATCTAATGTCCATAAACCGCTCCCTCTCAGAAGGTAGAGAAATCACCCACCACTTTTCATCTTTCCTGTAGATCTTGTGGTTTGGGTGTTCTTAGTATTTTTATGTTTGGTTTTTTTTTCTTTATAATGATACCAATGTGCTTGCTTCTGATGAGTCGGTCTGTGGGGAGGAAGAGCCATAATTCCTTCTGGTCTGCATTTCACCAGATCTCTTGGGAAGGGAAAGCTTTCTCCTGCCCTGCTAGAGAGATAATATGAGCTTTTCAAACCCTGCTCCTCCCTGCCCTCTGCATGTTTTATTCCTGTTGCTCAGAAAAGCACTAAGACAAAACGTTACTTCTTGGCTGAACAGGGCTGCCTGATGGCCTCTTCCTGGCTCAGCTCTCTTGGTTGGCAAGGCGATACGAGCCTTCTTGGCCCCCAGAGAAGCAGTTAAGAAAGGACAAGCTATTTTAACAAAATCTGAGAACAGCTGGCCCTTGTCAGAAGCACGATGAAAACACCAAGAATCACACTGACAAATTGCCAATTCCCTTTAAGTCACAAAATCAGAAGCCTCAAGGTACCACCTTGGGAGGGGAATGGCATCAGAATTATCTAGTCATCATCTGAATAGATGGGAACTCCCTCAGAGCAGAGAGTATCTGCCTGTTGGCGGGAACCAAGTACATGCACATGGTCTCCTGAGTGCAGTTTAAGAGATCGAAAGCTGCCAGCGCTCGTATCTTTTGGCCCACGGCCAGCATCCCTGAGGTGCGGCTCCCAAAAGCACCGGGGCTTCGGCAGAGCGGTTCCTGCCGTCGACACAGCCTGTCTCCTCACTCAGGCCAGATCTCAGGCAGGCCTTGATCAGGTGTGGCGGCTCCAGAGCAGGCGAATCTACTTACTATGCCCTCCTTTTTATACTGTTCCTTTGAACAAATCCCCCTTTTCCCTCCTATTGGCACTGATGGGTAACATTGCTTTGTTTTGCCCTGACCCTGAACTGTCAGATCTTTCTACTCAGCTGTTAACAACTACAGTCTTAAAACCCAAGCCCCGTGATTAATTCGGATTTATTTGTGTCTTCTCTCCTACCCCTCCTTCTTCAGCCGGAGAACCTGAACTTGGAAACTTAAGTGTTTCCGACATCACTTCTGAGAGTTTCAATCTCTCCTGGACCGCTACTGATGGTGCCTTCGAGACCTTTACCGTTGAAATTATTGATTCCAATAGGTTCCTGGAGACCATGGAATATAACGTCTCTGGTGCTGAACGAACAGCCCACATCTCAGGGCTCCGCCCTAGTAATGATTTTATTGTCTACCTCTCTGGACTCGCTCCCAGCATGCAGACCAAAACCATCAGTGCCACGGCCACTACAGGTACAGGCACATTCACCTATTCCTAACCCTCTCTCCAGAGTCTTTTTTTGCAGGATGAAGCCTACTCCTTCCCGCCCACAGAAGCCCAGGTCACAGGGCGGTTAACTGTTCCCTGACACTAGGCTGGAGCACTGGTGACCATACCTCTCTCCCAGCAGCAGCCCACATGGTGACTTTCCTAATTTATCACTGACCAGGACATTTACAGCATGATATATAGTGTGGTCCAGATTGCCAAGCTGAATCTGGAAAAAAGAATTCTCTTCCTCAGTAACTAAAAAAACTCTGATGAGAGCTGTTCTGGACTTGGGAAGATGTCTGTATTGGTCAAAGAGGTCTTAAAAATTATATTGTGTGTTTTATGATGGTTTTTGTCATTCCAGTGCCTTTGACTTCCCAAAACCCCAACATTCCAATGATTTAATGACCTTGAATTGGGAAAGTGATGACAGTCAGCAAAGGTTATTCATCAGATGAGTGTAGGAGGAAGTCACACTATTCAGACCACCCCAATTCAAGGCCACCTCTAGGAGAAAAGACCAGAACATGCTGGCTTGCTCCCAGAACAGTGAATGGTAGATGGCAGAAACAGAGTAGACATGTTTATATAAGGAACTTGGTTAACCAAAGAGTGAACTGCCCTCCATAAATCTGTGTTATCTATGACATACACACTATCAGAGATGCTGTCTGGAATGTAGCAAAAGACAATTCTATGTGAATTCAAAAAGGAGAGCCTTGTCCATTTCAAAATAGCATTCTTAGCACATTTTTGGACAATGCCTTCTCCTGACAGATAAAATTGGACATCACAAATGAAATTAAAAGTCATTTGTGGAGTAGACAGGAGATTCTCTTCTCACAAAAATGGGTCCCATATTCTAGGAGACTTCGAGAAAAGGATTAACATTGCAGAATCCAAACTCCCTCATTTTAAGTTGCCCAAGGCTGAGGGAGGATCTGTTCTCATTCTACATGAGACTACAAATTGTTATCAGCATGGACTGCAGGAAGAACAGTGAGCTAGCCAGCAGTACCTCATTCTCATCCCAACCAGATGAAAGTTCATCAAAACCTACGGAAATCAGTCAAACACATGTATTTCTTTCTCGTGGCTCAAGTTGGTTTTCAAAAAAGGGCAAGTTCCTTTATCAGAGGGTAAAGGTTAAAACTTTATGGATTTAGTCTTACATGTTTTGATTTTGACCTAATAGAGTTTTACATTGACATGCTGTTCGTATTTTCTTTTTTTCTTCTCACTTTAGTAGCTGAACCTCTCCTTAGCCACCTCACTGTCTCAAATGTGACTTCGGGCAGTGTGGCCATCTCATGGAAAGCTCAGGAGTCTGCCTTTGATAGCTTCCTTGTAGAAGTTAGGAATTCTGACCCCCTCCAGGAGACGGTGGTCCATTCTCTGCCTGCGGCATCTCGCAGCTTTGTCATCACCAACCTCAAAGCTTCTTCTGATTACACTGCCCACCTCCATGGGCTGATTGGCAGGCAGCATGCTCAGACCCTGATGGTCCAAGCAACCACAGGTATTTCCCATGATGGGTTCTTCACTGTCCGGTGAACTTCCTCTGAAAAGGATTCCCCCCAAAATCACCTTTGACCCATTTTTCACCCTTCTGTTCCTCCATATCCTTCTCAAATTTGAGAGAACCACCCCAACTAGAGCTTTAAAAGAAAATCTCTCACCCCAAATTAAGGAACTTTGGTGTCAATCTCTTTTTCCTAAATATCTGCTCACATCTGGCATTGCTCTGTTTGTCTATATAGAGTTAACCTGGCGTGCTTTGGTTGAATTTCTAAACCATCCTTTCATCTGGTCTTGAACATGATCATCTGCCTGTGGTCTTTCTAATCAGTTTTCCCATGTCTTATTTAAAGAAGTGTGTGCATGCATTGTTGATTCCTCAGTCACAAAGATCCACATTCTCTTTCTCTCCACCAAGCTTTTAAAAGTGGTGTTACTAGCATGCGGAGAAAAACACCCAAAGCACACCCCAAGACTCACATGAGAGGACCCAGGGGTCTCATCTTATTCTTGAGAACTTTTATTTGCTTGCGTTCCCCAGAGACTGTTCTTTTTTGACACTGACTCTGTCAAGCATGTCTTGTCGTCCACTGACATCTATAACAGAGTGTCAGAGTCTTCCTTTCATCTGTCATCTTATCCAAATTTGGTGCATGCGGTAAACATTCAGAGTATGAGGTTTTTGGAAATGTTTGTTTTTCCCAGAAGGGGACAGCATGCCAAGAAGTTGTTTCAAAGGGTTAGAAGTGGTAATAGAAAAACATCCCTAGCTTGCATGGAACACTGACTGGACCCTCACTACCATTCTCTGAGTTTCTTCTTGCATCTCACTTTGCAATTTGGTTGCATCCTTTGGGAGAGTTAGAGGTTCAGCTGACCTTGAAAACCCAGGTCTTATTCTGCATGATTGTTAATGTGTTGGCACTGCCAGTTTCCGTCCGGTAGCATAGAAAGAGTCCTAACATTCATCCTTAATTCGGGAGATTCCTTCCACAGCAACATATAAGGAAAAAGCAGACAGAGACCCATTGGAGGATTTCACTTTTTCTGTGGTTGAGGTAATTTGCCAGTGCTGTAGCTGAAAGCTATAGCATCATTAACTTCTCAAACTAATTGCTAAGTAGAAAAATTCCGAGACATTACTTCCGGCTACACTCTGCCTCTGAGCCAGATCCATTTGTCCTTACAGACTTCATGGCTTCGAGTTATGCTCTGCAGTTGTCCACTTACGTGGCATTGAGTTATGCTGTGCAGTTGTCCCCTTAAAGTTTATCCAAATGAGCCCCTTCTTTCCTCTAAATCCTGGAGCTGCAGCAAAACAACATCTGAGTCCTTGGAAGAAAGAGTCTGCCTCTTCCCAACACTAAATCCTAATCCTAGTATCTCAGTTATCCTGGACTGTCGCTTCTCTCTAAAATACGTCTGGGTTGAACTTATTTTAATGTTAGTATTATTTAATAAATGTGCATTTAGGTGGCCAGACCACATACGTCTCAGTTGAAACTAGTAGTATAGTCCCCCCACATTAAAAATGAGTTGCTCTCATCACAGATCATCTAGATTTTAAGCGACAGGAGAAACTTAACCTCAGTGGAACCATCCATCTTTCCAAATTATCCAATAAGTGAATTTCATATCAGAAAATGCAAAGTCTAACTTCAAGTTTTCCTTTAACTTTTACATATACCAGGGATTCTTGAGTGGAGGACAGCTTCACCTTTCTAGTATTCAGAGTAAGATGTAGATTTTCTACATGGTGCATGCATTTGGGTTTCTGAATACTACAAAGGATTTCTCTTGTGTGGATATTAACCTTTAATTTCTACAATCCAAACAGATCAAAGACTAAATCAGGAAATTCCAAAACAGCATTTTCTAAGGCATGCTCCGTGGCACACCAGCAACTTGAGATGTTCAGAGACTATTCCTCAATTAGGGCATCCATTCATCAATAAGTTCATGAAGTGCTATGCTTAGTCGCTCAGTTGTAGCCAACTCTTTGTGACCCCAGAGACTGTAGCCCGCCAGGCTCTGTCCATGAGGATTCTCCAGGCAAAAATACTGGAGTAGACTGCCATGCCATCCTCCAGGGGATCTTCCCAACCCAGGGATCAAACTCAGGTCTCCTGCATTGCAGGTAGATTCTTTACCATCTGAGCCACCAGGGAAGCCCTGTGAAATGCTGGGCTAAATGAAATTAAGTAGGTTTCTTTATAGAACCGGCATTCCTTTAAAATGCTAGTACGCTTCAAGAATCTCTAGGGTGAGATATATTATTCAATATAATGTGAAGCTATCTTGTCTTGGAACATCTCACAGAGGTAGTGTCCCATCACAAGCCTTAGAAAATGTACTCTTAATACATCTTTACAATATTTCTATCTACTGCTATAAGGCTTCTTTGCTTTTCTTTATGTATGACCAGCAAATGGTCACATCTCTAGTTTAAAAAAAAAAAGTGCAAATCCACACCTGCAGAGAAAGTGCTATATTTCCTAGCATTATAACCAATGCAGGTGTGGACACAGCTTGATACACTACCTTTCAGTAAATATTTGGAGGGATTGATACTTTCATGTTCCATGGCTACACGCTGGGGAAATCATCTGCTCCCTCTAATAACGGTGTCTCTCTCTCTGCCCCTGTTCCTTTCCCCCTAGAGCCAGAGCCACAGTTGGGCATGCTAGTCCTTAGCAATATCACTCCTGACAGCTTCAACGTGTCATGGACCACTCAAGCGGGGCCTTTTGCAAAGATTGTTATCAGTGTCAGCGATTCTCACTCGCTGCACGCGCCCCAGCAGCTCACGGTCTCAGGAGACGCACAGCACGCTCACGTCACGGGCCTGGTGGAAAACACTGGCTATGACGTTAGTGTGGCTGGGGCCCCCTGGGCGGGGGGCTCCACCAGGCCCCTCACTGCCTTTGTCGTGACAGGTATTCTTTCAGAGCCTCTGGTTCTGTTCGGAATTCTAAACTGGGGGAGGGAGAAAAGGGGGTGGGCGTTCTAAAGGGAAATTCAACCCCCAGTATAGTCTTCATTCCATATGTGAACTTCTATAGGAAAAGAGAGCCGGTGCTATTGCCAAGACAGACCCTTCACAGCCACTCTTAGGAAACGAAGACGGTAGACTCAACAGTCGTATAAAGCTGCCGAGGAGTTCTGTGCCCAGTTTTATAGGCTGTCTGATTCACAGTTTGGAGATTCTGGCTGGAGAGTGAGTTTTGAGTTGGTAATGGCCCAAGGCAGGAATTTTGTCCATAAATCATGCTAGGTAAAGCCGCCCATAAACTAACTGCCTCAGAAATAAAATGATTTACTTTTTCTCCCATAAAGGGGTTACTTTTTAAAATTGACATCTACAACAGATTAAGGAAGGTTCAGGCTTAGAGCAGATAAATCCCAATTTTAATTAAACCCGATCTATTTATTGAACTCGACTTCTTCCCTTTGAATTACATAAAGAATTGGTTTTCTATTCCCATTCCTGAAATTATCCTAAATCGACGGCAAAGGCTGAAAGTGGTATCAGTTTACCAAATCTCTAACCTGCAAAGCCTCAGAAAATATTTAGAAGTCTCTTGCTTTCCACTAATGATCATTTTCAGGAGACCAACTTTGCTGGCTGATTTTTCACATGAAACCAGGTGTCTCTTGAGGTCTAAATTGCTATAAATTGCTATTTATTGACATAAATAAGATCTATCAATAAGATCAGCTAAGTATTTAATTGGAAGCAGCATAGGTTTCCTAGAAGAGTGAGGATCTTGAGATCAGGCCTATGTGGTTTCTAATTCTCTCCCACATCTTTTTAACTACATAACCTTGACCAGCTCTTAACTTCTCCGAAACCCCACTCTCATATGTATGAAAACAAAATACTAACAGGCACCTCTGGCAGTTTCAGGATTTAATGGATATGGTGAAATGTAACTGCCTGGCATCCAGGAAGCACTTCACAGATGCTGAGTCCTTTCCTCTGTCTCCCAACAGTATGAGAAAAGTAGGGTTCTTAAAGATAAGCAATGACCACAATAAAATAAATAAATAAAAGCAACAGCCTAGATAGAAACAAATAGATCTGGCAGTCATGACTATCCTATTATTTTTTAAGAGAATACTACATTGTTTTTACTGTAAGATCAAAGAGAGGTAATGTTTTCTGTACAGTTGTCTAATGTGAATTCAATTGTCCTGTCTTCAAATGCAGAATATGATCATTCCTTAGTGGGGCAGGGTGAGGAACAGACAGATGACGGAGAACTTCACTGCCCAGGAGGGAAAGCATGGCTGGAAGCAGATCGTCAGGCTATTACTTGTAGCTTCTTGCAGGGTCTCCCACAGAGAGAAGAAAGAGGGGCTGGGAGAGCTGGTTTAGGGAATCCTGGATCCAGTTACAGCATTGTCTCAGCTAATCCTGGATGTGAAAAGACTCTGCAGTTTAAAAGAAGCATATTTTTTAAAGAGATTAAAAAAAAAAACCTGAACAAGAGGGACTATAAATAGCAAGCCCTTGATGGACTAATTAGCCTGAACGCCCTCCTGTTCTTTGGAATTCTCTGCTTTGATGGCCTGGAAGTTTGCGGAGGCCAGTTATCAGAGAAAGGCGCCACATATCTAAACAAAGTTCTGCAGCAGAATTTGAGACCTTTGTCTTGCAGACAAAGGAGTCTGTCAGCACAGTATATGTGATTTCATCTTTGCCTTTGATAGAGTTATGACTTAGAGGAGATCTTCTTTTTTTTTTTTAAGCCTCAAGACAAACACCATGCAGTTCAAAATAAGTACAGGAAATCCAAGCTGTGACAAAATTTAAATCTCTGCTTAGGGGGTGAGGGCATTCATTCACTTGTTCATTCAGTCACCAAACATGTCTTTTTAAAACGTTTTCCTTTACAGTCCATGTATTAGACTCTGGGCACTAGTGTAAGGTCGTTTATCTCTTTGAATGTTTGCATTTAGCTTCAGTGAAATAGTAGGCTCTAAACTAGATGTGGCTAAAGCAGCCTTGGCCATGGAATTCCCACCCCCACACCTGCTCTGATAAAAATAAACGCATACACTCGCTGCGCTTTGTTTCACTGGAGGGAAGGCCCTGGACCTTCTCCAGTGCTCGCGCTTATGCCTCAGGTCTTGCCAGCACGGATGGGGTTGACCAGTTAGACTCTGGCTTAGGATATGGAAAGAACATTGAACCTGGGGTCAGACGACCCAGGCTGGATCTCAGCTCAGCCACACAGCGGACATGTCACTCACTTAGTCGTTTAGTCGTGTCCAGCTCTTTGTGACCCTATGAACCATACCCCTCCAGGCTTCTCTGTCTGTGGGAATTCTCCAGGCAGGAATACTGGAGTGGGTTGCCATGCCCTCCTCCAGGGGATCTTCCTGACCCAGGGGTTGAGCTCATGTCTTTTGCATCTCCTGCATTGGCAGGCAGGCTCTTCACCACTGCACCACCTGGGAAGTGCCTTTACTACTGAGTCACGGAGAAATCCCTGACCTCTCGGCTTCCTTTGTTGTCATGGGTGGGAAGAGAGGACAGTAATATCTACTTACAGTGTCATCATGAGGGTTCAATAGGATAACAGACACGAAGCCTTGTCAGTTGAGAATTATTAACAGAAGTCCAGCTGATACAAGCTCACTCCTGTAGGGAATCTCAATGTGTAAAAAGACCCCTTGGCACCTATGGAATAAGAGTACCTGAGACACAGATGTTTGGTGAATGAATGAATGAATAATGACAGAATTTACTGAACATCCTACCTTTATCCAGGAAAATAAATAGTGCAAGAATTAGCAAATCTTAGTATTCCTTACTAGGCCATAATCATAATTGGTTAAATTTGGACACACAAAAAATTCTTACCTCATCCCTTTATCTCAGCTGGTGAGGATGTACATCACCAACTGGCCTGGCCAACTTAATTCTAAATAAGACCTAGAAGTGGAATAGATACATACAAAATACGCTGAAAAGGGAGTGTGTTTTAAAAATAAATAAATAAATAAGCTGATTTTCTTCAAGACCACAAGTTAGAAGGAAATAGACAAAAGAGTCCAAGCCCATTACAAGATATTCAGTTTTATTGGGGAAAATCCATGGCCTTTGGAGTCAGACCCAGCTAGAACCTTGCTCTGTCACATACTAGCCCTGCAACTTCAGCCAAGTCAGTCAACTTCTTTTGAATCTCGGTTTTCTTACCCATGTCGTGGGAATAACATCCATCTCATAGACTTGTTAAGAGATCTACACAAGACAACATCATCCAGCATCTGATAAGCTCTTACCAAAGATGCATTTTCTGAGCACGTTAACACGTTTGCTGATTGATTGTGTATCTCATCCGTGTTCGTGGAGACTTGTGCTGTCCCAGCAGAGTCAGCGCTGCTAACCTGAGTTCTTTTCACCCCTCCCTTCTTTCAGAGGCCCTGCCCCTTCTGGAAAACCTAACCATTTCCGACATTAATCCCTACGGGTTCACAGTTTCCTGGATGGCATCGGAGAATGCCTTTGACAGCTTCCTAGTCACGGTGGTGGATTCTGGGAAGTTGCTGGACCCCCAGGAATTCACCCTTTCAGGAACCCAGAGGAAGCTGGAGCTCAGAGGCCTTATAACTGGCATTGGCTATGAGGTCATGGTCTCTGGCTTCACCCAAGGGCACCAAACCAAGCCCTTGAGGGCTGAGATTATTACAGGTATTTTGGCTCAAGCGGGCCATTTTCTCCTCTTCCTGGTTCCCTCCGTGTAATCCATCTATGAGATCGCCATGGTTTTAACACCCTTGTCCATGTTTCCTACTTAATCCATAGATGTGGCCTAGTCTCTGTGTCCCCTCCCCTCCGCCGCCCCCCAGCACTCTCTGTCTCATGTCTCTAACTAGCGCTCCTTTCCTCCCACTCCAGAAACGAGAAGGTCAAAATGTCTCCACTAGGTGTCCCAAATCCTTTGACCGCGTCTTGTCTGTAGCTCTTGTGTGTTTCCTCCACGTTACCCTCCTCTGTGTTCATCTGGCTGGTCCCCAGCTGCGTTTCCGCCTTCTCAAAAGAAATATACCAAGGAGTATATTTCAAAAACGTATTTACTGTATTTGTCATCTCAAAGCCTCAACTGTGGTCTTGCCAAACTTGCCAGGTGGGCTTGTCATTGGAACACCAACTGTGAACTTATACTGGTAAACACTAATATCATTGAGATTCCTCAATACAGACTAAATCCATAATTTTCTGCACACTCATAATTCCTAGAGAAATATAGCATGAACTACTTTAACAGTCAAAAATCTGTGTTTCCCAAAGTCTTTCTAGAAGGGACTAACTCCACATTCAGAGGTCCTACTTAATAAAGAAGTTCCATGTTCAAATAAATTTCGGAAACACTGAGTTAAATATAAGTTTAACAAGATCCTTGACCACAAGGCTTTAGAGAACATTGTAAAGTGCATGCGTCTCTCCAAGAGGGACTTACCCAGGAAATATTTCCCACATTTATTTGACAATGGATGATGATCAAATAGATATAGTTTGCTCTAAGTGTACTCTGGGAAACTCAGCTCTAAACCTATCTCAACATTGAGTTTTGTCTAGTTAAGGCAATCCAAGATAGCAACTTTGGATCTAAATTATGTAGCACAAGAGGTTCCAAGTCTTAGTTCTACCATCTGAACACTTACTGAATGGTTAACAAAAAGCAAGCCAGTCAAGAGTAGGAGCCTCCTTTAGTATAGCAGCTCCAAGAAAAAGAGCATAACATTTATAACATTTTAAAAGCCAAATGCTCAAGATCAAGGGAAATATAATCAGCTGTATCATCATGGGCAGCTCTACAGATTGTTAATGCTGGTTTATTTGTCTTTGCAAAAAGAAAAGAAGAAGGTCTCACAGACATGGGCATTCAGCCACTGGCAGACAGAGAACAAATGTAAACAAGTTACTGGCTTTGAACTTGTTTAATAATGCAGGGAAGGGGTCTTTGCTGAGTCCAGATGTGGATTTATAGAACTGCTTTTAGACAAAACTCATTCATGTGAGCACCCACCTGACTTGTACTGAATGTATCAACTCCATCTTTCTCCTCTCCTCGACCTACTAGACATGTCCATGTTGAATCATTTTATTTTCGGTATCTCAGGACACTTCTCACTCTGAGAGCCAGGACATGACTGCATATCAATACCCCCACCAGAGAGACTATGGCACGGGCTGCGGAATGATCTCTCTCCTTCCACCATTCTCTTCCCTTCTAGAAGCTGAGCCGGAAGTTGACAACCTTCTGGTTTCAGATGCCACCCCAGATGGTTTCCGTCTGTCCTGGACAGCTGATGAAGGAGTCTTCGACAGTTTTGTTCTCAAAATCAGAGATACCAAAAAGCAGTCCGAGCCACTGGAGATAACCCTACTTGCCCCTGAACGAACCAGGGACATAACAGGTCTCAGAGAGGCCACTGAATATGAAATTGAGCTCTATGGAATAAGCAGTGGAAGGCGATCCCAGCCAGTCACTGCCATAGCAACAACAGGTACCATATATAAATGGGAGAGAATAGAGAAAAGTTCTCTGTTCCTCCTTTCACAGGGCTGGGAAATTATTAGAGATTTGCATGCAGACAAGCTTGTGTTTGAATCATGACTCTTGATTATAGACTGGATGATTGTTATTGTGATTGCGGCTAAGTGTTTATGCAAAAAGAGTATGATTCCACTTACCTAACAGTGTTGTGAGGATTAAATGAGATGATTCATGGAAAGCCCATGGTGAGGGCCTGGCACACAGCAAGGGCTGAGCTAATGAGAGCCAGTAACATTTTCATTATTGTCATTAAGATAATCATTACAATCACTGCTTTTTCTTCAAAGTCCAAAGACCCTTCTTTCTGCCTGTTATCATGTTTTATCCAGAGATATACTTCCATGTTCTTTGGTCATTTGTTCAAACTATGCAGGGTATAATGGAGAAGTGGTACCTCCACCTCTAAAGATGAATACTTATAAAATCCTACATGTGAATAGTCAGTACCTTAATCAACAAGGAAAAAAGAAGTGGTTAGCAGATTTGGCAGGCTCACGCATTTTATTTTATCCTCACAGCAACTCTAAAAGGCATGAGAGGCAGAAATGAAAATTCTATTCAATATGAGTTCTTTCCAGAAGAATAAAGAAAGATGGTCATAACAAGATGGTTTAAAATGATAATACTAAGATTAACATGATTCTTTAAAGAGAAAAGGACAGACCTTTAATGGCAAGGTAGGGTGAATTCCTTCAGGAAACCGAGGAAGGTACAGATATGGAGCATTTGCTAGAGACAGCTGCTTCAGAGGAACCAGAGGAAACAATCATAAAACCAGAAGCAGCAGTACAAGGGACCTGAGGAATGATATATCCCAGACCCTTCTGTTTATGCATGAGGAATCTGTGACCCAGAAGGGTGAAGTGATTGGCCTAAGGTCACACAGACAAATTTGAGGTAGAACCTAAATACCAAGCTATTTTACTACTATTAAATAGAGACAGGCTAGATAACATAACCAATTCCTATACACACTTGCCAACTCTGACTTGCAAAGAGCACAACACTAGTCAATACCTTCCCTTTGTCCAGAGTATCTTATGAAGCCAACTTTCAGGACCAAATGAGCTCTGAGAAGCCACCTGTAGAAATAAAAATTGCTATTTGTAGACATGGAGGAAATGCTGAGATCCAGGCAGTAATTCAGCCAGAGGAAATACCCTGTTTCTTACTAACACAGATACCCTATCTCCCAGGACATAGGTCCCCGTCTCCTCCTCCCTGTGGCTTCCCACAAAACAACTTTAGATGAGAGGCAGAGGCTGGTTTTGACCCTGGTTTATAAACACTGCTTTTCAAAGTTTACTTCTGATCGCTGATTTTGTTTTGCTGATCTTTTTTTTTCCCAGAGGCTCTGCAGTTTTAAAGCAAAAAAGAGAACAAATAATCATGAGCTCTTTTTTTAAGAACAAAAGAAAAGGCTCTGTAAGATAGCCCTTTCTTTGATTTCTTTCTCTGGGGCATTGCATTTCACAGCTGAAGAGATGCGTCTGTGGCTGTGTGTGTAGTGTACACATGTGTGCTCTGGTGCTTGGACCGGAGAGGTGACTCTGGACCACAGTAGACGTCTCGGTCACCTTATCAGCTTCAGAAAGTTTCCCTCTTGCTTTTTCACTCTTTCTCCTTGTAAACCCTTCTTTCTGCTCCTCTTTCTCCTTATAAAAGCTGCCGCTGCGTCTCCTCTCACTCCCTAAGCACAGGCTGGCAGCCCTGAGTGGCCCCACAGCAGAGAAGGTGGCTGGAGGCAGAGTATCCCAGTGGTTAAGCCTAAAGCCTCTGGGCGGATCCCTTGGAGTCTGATCCCTGTTCCTGAGCAAGTCTCCTTTCCCCTCTGAGCACCTGTCCCCTCACTTGGCCAATGAGCTCTAACTCAAAGGTCAGCCAAGAGATTCACTTCAGATCAGGAATGTTGAATATTTTTCCTTGCCCACTGTAACAGTATTAGCTGATACTATGTTTGGGTGACTTAATGTACATTTTTAATGTACATTTTTTAATGGTCCACTTGGTTGAAAATTTAAAGGTTAAAAAAAAAAGATATACAATGAGGTCTTATTCTGCTGTCCCCACTACTAAGTTGCTAAACTAGAGGCAGTCAGTATGACTACTTTCTTCTGAATCTCTGCAGAAATACGCTTACAGACAGACAAGATTAGACCTAAGTCTATCTACTCTCCTTTTTTCCGCCTTTTTATTGGCACAGTGATTAACATACCCAATCTTTCACACACTGGTGTGTGTGTGTGTGTGTGTGTTCCTTGCTTTTAAGAGATCTCAGATATAACCCCACATATCTTATTTATTTAAGTATTCCCCTACTGATAGACCCTTAGGTTATGGGTTGTTCCCTCCTCTGTCAATCTCTGCATTTACAGTGGCTGCTCTTCCTTTCCATGGATTGAGCCACTTCTTCACAATGACTTTGGTCCCCCTTTGGGAAGCCCAGAGGAGCTTCTTTTGTCTCTGGGAAGTTAAATGCCAACACGCCTCTGTGTACCATCTGGATGCTCCCCAGAAGAGAAAAGAAAATACTTCAAAATCCGAAACCAGAGTCAGATGACTCTGTCATTCTCTTCTGGAGGTTTCTGCTGCCTACCTTGGGGATAGTGAGGACCCTCAAATGTTTCTTTTACCCTGCCCCATCACCACCCCAATCATACATCCCTTCCGCACCCTGAAGCCAAGGAGGCAACCCCTCCCCAAGCCCCAGAATATACCCCCTCTCACCCCCTCTCACTTTTCCCAGCCAGGCAGCTTCCCAGCCTCTCCACTCAGTTCCAGTTCAGATGCAAACTTGACACCACAAGCCGCAGAGCTGCAGCAGCTTCATGTCTGGGGACCTGGGTCAGCGGGTCTACAGAGACACGTGCTCAGCAGTCCTTCCTTCTGCAGGAACCAGGCTGTCTGTGCCTGGTGCCTTTGGCTCTGACTCTCATTAAGTGTAAAGATGATAACCACCTATTACAGAGCTTGCACTCCATGCCACCTCACCTACCTCACTGACCCACGTGACAAAGACAGTCCAACTGAGCGCCACACTCAGCCCCGTTTCACAGAGACCTACGGGGCTAAGGTGTTGTTATCTAGTAAAGCCAGATGGAATTCAAACCAGGTCAGTGTACCCACCAAGCCCTTGCTCTTAAATCATACTGGCAACAATAACCATCTCCTTAGCTTCTCACAGGATTCACATATATTAAGTGTTTATAAAAATATGTTGAAGGTAAAATGTTTTTAAATGAGTGTGAATAGTCACATTATTAAAGACATTTGCTCCAGATTTGAGGAAGCAACATTTTATGCAGAGAACAAACAGAAGTCCTCTTCAACCTCCTTGAGAATTTCTAGCAATTTTCAGTGTTTCCCTTATGGAACTTTTATTGAAAACCTAGAGTCTTAGAAAGACAGTCAGAGGCATTGCCTTTCCTGGGTCTCCCTAGCTTTTCAGTCGGTATAATTTAGTTCTTCCATGAGGCTCAGCTTTCAGGTTCCCATTGGCCCTCTCTTCCATTTCGGTCCTGGAGACTTGTGGGCCCTATTTACAGCAGCAGGACCCATGCTAAAATAACAAATTGTCTTCCACACCTAGGAAGGTCTGTTGTCTAAAAATACCGTTGACCCTGGAATTCCACCACTACTGTGCCATTCTTCAGATGACACATGGCTATCTGCCTGCTGTCACTTTCGTCAAGTACATCCCTCAGGAGTGCATGACAGATGAGGTTACTAATTCTCATGGTTTTTGTTTTGTTTTGTTTTCTAAGACAGGGAAGATAATCTTGCCATCTTGCAGATGAGAAAACTGGGATCTAGATAGGGAAGCTGTGGCAAGATGCACTTTCTAAACTGTGCCAGGACCTGGCCTGATGAATGTCACAGAGTGAAGGTCGGAGTGGACCAGGCTTGCAGCAGGAGAGGCCCTGTGCGAGTTTATACACCTCACTGGGGTTTTTTTTTTTCCTCATTCTGCCTCATCCAGATCTTTCCTGGGTGACTACCTCAAAATTCAAGTGGCCCATGGGAAAAAAAGAAAGTCACTTGAGAAAGAAAAAAAAAAGCAAGCATGTTTACTGTATTCTCACTGTGTGCCAAGTTCTGTGCTAGGGTTTGACATCCGTCATCTCTGCTAATCCTCAAAACATTCCTGAAAGTGGGCACCACTTTTCCCACTGGAAAGATGGAACAAAGGAGGCTCCTATAAGTCACGGGAGCTGCCCCTAGTAGCCCAGCCTGGCCATGGTGTTTGGACAATCAAGATCATCCCACTCCAGAGTCATGTGGCTACCAGAGCTCTCCAAGGAGAAGGCAAAACCCCAGGCAGCCACAGAATCTGGGGGTGGCTAGAGATCACAGGAGAACGCCATCGGAGGAGGGGGAAAGGGCAGAAACCGAGAGGGAAAAAAAAGCTCCCCAAAGTGGGCTGTGGGTTTCAGAACTTAATGATCAACGTGGGCTGCAGAGGGAAAAAGATGAGGAAATGAGCTCCCTGGAGACCCGAAAATTGTTTCCTGGATTGTACGGTTAAGCATGGTCAGCTGAAGAGGGCAAAAAGCTAAGCCAAAAACTACACAGAGAAAAGCCAAAGGAAACTGGGTTTGCGGGGGAGGTGTTTACATAGCAGAAACTGTCCCCCAGGGCACGGCTTTCCCCGCAGGTAGACCCAGTGTCCAAGGGGGGCTTGCCTTGGGGATGGTTCTGAGCTCCCTCCTCTGGCTGCGAATCTCCATCCAGTTCTGGGAATGAGTTTGTCGAGGTCAGTTTCCACGTAAACATTATTTCCATGATCCCAGGGCTATGCCCAGCTCTGCCGCCCAGCCCTGGGATCACATCACAAGAATATTCACTGGAGAACTGAGCCTCAGTTTAGTCTCCTGTAAATTGGCTACAACCACACCTTCTTCTCCGTGGTTTCTAAAGGAGGGTTAATCCTTATAAAGTGAAAGAACTGAGCACTTATCAAGTCTTGAAAATGAAAGTGTGAGTCACTCAGTCATGTCCAACTCTTTGTAACGCCATGGACTGTAGCCCACCAGGCTCCTCTGACCGTGGAATTCTCCAGGCAAGAATACTGGAGTGGGTAGTATTCCCTTCTTCGGGGGATATTCCAGACCCAGGGATCAAAGCCGGGTCTCTCACATTGTAGGCAGATTGTTTACCATCTGAGCCACCAGGGAAACCCCCATCAAGACTTGGTATCATTTAACATCAAATTTTCTTTAATCATAAAAGGAATTAAAATGCAAAGATTTGGGGGGAAAATGCTAAACATCAAAAATGAAAGGGGGGTTATTTGAAACTGTGAAACTACCCACTTACGCTCACTTTTTAGACGTCAGCCATGGTGCTAACATTCCTCTTGGATGAAACCAAGCAGCAGCCCTGCAGCTCTGGGCCCTGTACCTGAATGAAAGAGCGATTGTTTCCATCGAGTCATAACTTGACCACAGATCACCACATCCTCCATCCTAAAGGCTTGGCTTGGATGTAGACTGAGCTTTCGTGGATAAGGAATTCAGGAAGAGCCGCTGATGAGCAAGAGAGTTAACTGCTTCTGGGTTGTCTCCTGTGCTTTCTCCTCAACAGCCATGGGCTCCCCGAAGGAAATCGTTTTCTCAGACATCACTGAAACCTCAGCCACTGTCAGCTGGATGGCACCCACTACCCAGGTGGAGAGCTTCCGGATCACCTATGTGCCCATTGCAGGAGGTAGCGCACTTGTTGGGGAGAGGGGAGGGATCTGGGGTGTTCGGTTGGAACTGTGACTCTGACAGTCCCGTCCTCCTTCTTCACAGTTGAGACCATCTGAATAGACTTCATTTGTAAAGTGCTATGAGATCCTGGAAAGAAACTATACTGCAAGGGATCATGCTATAAAGATCATTTCCAGTCTCATAATTCTAAAATTCCATGAGCAGTAGATCCCCAACAATGTTTTCACACAAGGACAGAAGACTCTAAACCCACTGACCTTTTTTTCTTGGCAAAACTGACCTTTGCCTCTTGGTCCCCAAATCTGTCTGTCTCAGCAAAGGATGGGAAGCTGTGACTTCACAGAGTTGAAAGTTCTAGGTCAGGTACATGGGCCATAATAGAGACCACAAGACCACGGGGCGGGGGTGGGGGAGGAAGCATATTCAAATCTGTCTGAAGACATGCTGGGTATGTCTTTAGACATACATGGATAAGGAAAACAAGTGTATACAAAGATGATTGTCTCTTCAGAGACATGCTGTAGCATCTCTGTAGGATACCCAAGCTCCTCACCAGCCCCCAAATTCCAAAAAATATAAATTTTGGACTTTTTAATAGATATAAGAGTACAAATTAGACCATGACCATCTTCTTCAATAGTAGAATATCTGCTAGTAAGAGATAAGTCTATATATAGTTAAGCGAAAACAATGGATTAAATAGGTCAGATTTACATTACATAGTGAGCTTCCCGTATCCTTAGTGGGAAGAAATGGATAAATAAAATTTATACAACCTGCCAGCTCTCTACTGAATGGAAACTTGCCACTTTTAGCACATTGTGACCTCATCATTTTCCTCCCCTGGCTTAGTTTTTGGCCTCTGCATGGATGGAAACAAACATTATACAAGGAGTAAAACCTCTTCTCTTATGCCAGAGGGTAGGAGCAAATGAGAAGTAAAGAAAATGGTGTTGGATAAAGGCGTAGTGTCGCTGCCAAACCAGATACGCCATTCTTGGGACAGGTGTGTTTAAGTTCCAGTGAGGTTCACCGTTCCCTCCTGCTTTTCCTGTGTTCCAGGTTCGCCCTCAGCGGTGACTGTGGATGGGACCAAGACCCAGACCAGGCTGCTGAGACTCCTACCTGGGGTGGATTACCTGGTCAGCGCCATCGCCCTGAAGGGCTTTGAGGAAAGCGAGCCTGTCTCAGGGACGTTCACCACAGGTGTTTTGCTCACCTTCGGCATCATTGCTCATGATTCAGCAGTCAGAAGAAAAATGATTTTGTTTGGGAAATTCTAGTGGAAAGTGGGCTGGCTTGGGGGCACCAGAGGGCTCATTTCTGACGCAGTTGTAGCCTCTTCTGAGCTTCATGCTCAGCCTCCCTGGGCCGCCATGTCCAGGGAATTGTGCGGGGAAGGGCAGAAGCTGGGGAGTCATACTGACCTGGTGTGAATCCCAGGTTCTTCCACTTCTAAATACAGAGCTGTCAGTTAATGTCCTGAGGGTCTAGTTTCCCTCTCTGTAAAATGGGTGCAGTTCTTCCTCCTTTGCAGGATGCTATAAGAACCTTAGAAAACTGTGTATGTAAAGCATCTGTAAATACGGATCATTGCACGCATTAACTCACCTCCTTCCCTTCCTCAGTAGTGCAGGGACCACCAAGAGGACCCTTCCAAGCAGATGCTTTGCACAGACACGTGAATGGTGATAGCTATAAAGTCACAACTCTCAATTTGGCAGCTACAGTATTTCAGGGCTGTTACTCAACCATTCCCATGTAAACTAATATAGTTAACATCCTTCTCACAGCTAATATCCTTCCCATTTTACAGAGGAAAAAACTGAGGTCAGGGCAATTACATGCCTTGGCCAAGTCCACATTAACTAGTCAATGCTGGAAGCAAACTTAAACTTAGGTCAGTCTGCCTCCAAACTATGCGTTCCTCTTAGATAAAGGATGATTTTCCTATTAAAACCTGATTTGTACAGCACATTGTAAGGAGGGAAAAAATAATGAATTGCATTGAAGGAGAATGAAGTGGAAAATTTCTCTTCAGGCTCCCATGTCTCTAAACAATTTATCCTTTGATATATGAGCAATTATCCAGCCTAATCCATTAAGGGATCTGAAGAATGGGCCTCACAGGAAATTTAAAAAATATCCTAATAGTCTAAAAGGGTTGCTAATATGCAATTAAAACCTCCTGTCTGAACCCAGAGTCCTGCCCACCCTGCCACACAGATCCTCATCCCCCGCCTAGAAATCTTTCATTTGTGGCTTCTCCATGGCAACTGATTGCAAAGCCTGGATCTTTTTCCTCTGGAGGCCCCATTGTCCTCATTGTTAAAGGAGATTCTGTCCATGTAAGATGAGACAGGAAGGAACTCCGGATGGACAGGGTGGGTGCCCTCAAGTTACTCTGCCGCTTCCTAAGACCCTCAGGCCAGTCGTTTTATCTCCTGGGGCTCAGGCACCTCAGCTGTGAAGTCAGCTGACGATGGCTGCCCTCCATCTTCCCAGGGCTGTGGTCCCGGCGTAACTGAGTCATAAATGTGAACGAAATCGGAAACTAGTCACATGTAGGTTGGTTTCTAAGAAGGGGGTGCTGGGTTGTAGCAGTGGTCAGTTCAAAGGGCCAAGAACTGTGACTCTCCATCCCTTCTCAGCACAAGTCATTTAGGAATCATTCTGAAGACTCCAAATAACTTTAATAGTCATATTAAAACCAACTGCAATTATTGAGTGCTGCCCCGAGCACATTCCACACACATCGCCTAGTTCATCCTTACAGCAGCCACTCTGCGACAACCAAGAGTGAGGTGTGGAGAAGGAAAATGTCCCAAAGGCACACAGACCTACAACAGGGGATCCAAGGTAGAGCCTGGGACCACCAGCCCCTGGAGCCTGCCTCCGTGTTCTCCATAGCCCACCGAACCAGAGCTATTACTCAAAACCAAAGACGTCATAGGCAGCCTTCACTCTGTACCTGTCCTGTTTTTCTAAGTCCTTTCCCTGGAGAAAGTAACATGAGCTATAAATGTAAATCCTTGTCATGTGTTCAGTTCTTTGCAGCTCACAGAGCACCTTTCCACCTATACTATCATGTGAAAACCAAAGTATCGCTGAAGACAAAGCCAAGCAGTTTCTGTACCCATTTTACAGATGAGAAACAGAGCCAAGATGACCCAGAGAGCAAGGGAAGGAGTCAGGTCTCAGACTCAGGTCATCCTGGCTCCAAGGTCAGAACTCTCGCATGCTTCTGACACTGTGTCCCTCACCAGGAGTCCTGGAGCAGGGCAGACAGCAGAGTAGCTGTGGTCTGGTGGCTGACCGCGTGGCTGACTATCTCTCCAACACATCCCTATCTTTCCTTGCAGCTCTGGATGGCCCATCTAGCTTGGTGACAGCCAACATCACTGACTCAGAAGCCTTGGCCATGTGGCAGCCAGCCATCGCCCCTGTGGATAGTTATGTCATCTCCTACACAGGCGAGAGAGGTAAGGTCATGTCCAAGACCCTCCCGTCTCGGAGGAGTGTCTGTCCAGCTCTAAACTTCCTGTTCTCCCTTCTTTGTGCCACTTTCAGTTGCTTTTGTTGTTTAGTCACTCAGTCATGGCCAACTCTTTGCGAACCCATGGACTGCACATGCCAGGCTTCCCTGTCCTTCATCATCTCCTGGAGTTTGTTCAGATTCATGTCCATTGAGTCCGTGATGCCATCCAACCATCTCATCCTCTGTCGTCCCCTTCTCCTCCCAGCTTCAATCTTTCCCAGCATCAGGCTCTTTTCCAGGGAGTCATCTCTTCGCATCAGGTGGTCAAAGTACAGGAGCGTCAGCTTCAGCATCAGCCCCTTCAATGAATTTCAGTGTTGATTTCCTTTAGGGTTGATGTACAAAGATGCAAGGGTAGGTTGGTGAGTCCAGCAATGTCCTTGTGGTTCTCAGTTGCCACCTGAGAACAGACTCGTGGGCTGGGACAGGGGCTGGTGAATGGATGGGTGTGAAGGGCGCTGTGAAAGTGGTGATGAGAGGGGCCCAACCTGTATCTTCCTGCTGTGGTCAAACGGAAGAGCATCAACACAACGATTATATCAAGGAAGCCAACAGGCCATTTAAAGAAAAGCAGAGGGTGCATCTCCAGGCTGTTCCTCCTCTCCCGCTGGTCTCTGCTGTCACAGTGAGCCACGCTCTACAAGCACAGATCTCACCTCTTTCTCACAAAGGAGTCCACAATCTAAAATCTTAAATAGGCTACTTCAGGCAGCTTTGGGTAGACTGCATTTCCTGGATGCCGCAGACGGGGCCAGTTAGAGCTGATCTGATTAAGAAATCAGAAGTGATCTCTCCTTGAATTTGCAACCATCCGTGCTCATTTACTCAGCGGGCAGATTCAACATTGATAACTTGTTTGGGCACCAGTGAATTACGGCCAGTAGCACGTAAAATTAAATACAAATAAGAGAGAAAAGAAAGAGAGATTTCTTTTCAATGAATAAATCCCTATTTTTCATGAACTAGATTAGGAAAAAATATGTTATTTTAATCTCACAGTATATATGAGTTTCATATCTGCTGGTTCAGTATTGTTCTACTTTCAGTAACATGAGAGCAAACCATAAGCTGTGGGGGGGTCTCTGAAAATCTTAACTGAGCCCTGGCAACCTCTTATGAGAGAAAGTTCCTTGTGAGGATGGAGGGAAGGTGGGGTGGGGCTAGAGGAATTCTTGGGTTTCTTTTTTTCTACTTTTTTATTTTTAAATATCCCCCGTGAGCAAACTCTTGCAGGTCAGGGAAGATGATGTTGTCTCACCTAAAATAAACCAGAGTATAGTTCATGGGAATCATGGAAACTGTGGATGCAGGCATAGACATGAACTCATCCAGAATAGTCTGTGTGTGTGTGTGTGTGTGTGGAGGGGATCATGGATGACAAGGAAGGTGAGCATCTCATCCCAGTTTGCCCCCAAACTTTCCCAGTTTTAGCCTCCTGAATCCCATACCCTGGGAAACCTCCTAGGCCTTGGGCAGCCAGGCCAGCTGGTCACCTGTGTTGAGGAAGGGGACACCTGGATGCCATGGTGTGGGGTCCACCCTTGGTCCTGACCCAATGAGACTGAGAGCCAGTAATCAGGCTTTGGTCTGTCTATGCCACCTGATTTTTCTGGTTCCCCAGCCTAAAGATATGACATCTGGCAAGTTATAAAAGGACATGAGAATAAGTGGGAAAAAATGGGAGAGCAAGCAATGGGACAAATTAAATCTGGGTAGCCTGAGGCGTGGGGATGTTACCTGCAGCTCTCATCTAGCTGGATCCTGTGCAACACTGTCCCAAGGGCACCGCGGGCAAAGTCTTCTGACCCCTAGTTCCTCTTCCTTCTGATTTGGTGCCTGGAAAAATCCAGTCACCATAGGATAAATCCTCTGTATACGAAGTGAGTGCTCAAGAGAGAGAAAGGAGTGTGAGTCATCTCAGAAATCAAACGTGCTTTTCTGCAGGACTGCTGAAAGCTTCTGGGTTAGGAGGTGTGTGCGCTGTTGGCCAAGCCCACTGATGGCCCAGGCAGGGAGGGGTAACTGCCGTGGTGTGTATATTTCCTGTATAGTGCCAGAAATTACCCGCACGGTGTCCGGGAACACGGTGGAGTACGCACTGACCAATCTTGAGCCTGCCACGGAATACACGCTGAGGATCTTTGCAGAGAAAGGGCCCCAGAAGAGCTCAACCATCACCACCAAGTTCACCACAGGTACAAAGACACCGAGAGCTGGAAAAAGCCCACCCACTGCCTCTGTCTTTAACAGTATCCCTCTCCATCTATTATTTCTCAAGTCAGCTCCCTGCAATGTGATGACATCAGCAGCAACTCAATCCACCAGTGCCCCCTCAATCAAGACCTTAAGAAACACACCATTTCCTTTTGAACTGAAATGACCCTGCTCTCCCCACAGACTAGGAAATGATTTTAAGAGGAGGGCTTTTTAAGTGGAAAACCAGTCCCCACTGGCCCTAAACCCAGTAGTTAATGATCCATGTTCTAGGCAGGGAAATATTTTTAAGAGAAAGATTCTAAAGACAAATTTTCCTAGATGTCTGCTGGGCTTTTCATATACGTTGAGATCTTTTTTTCAGACTGTGACAGGCAAAGGAATGGAAGCAGTGTCCGCTGAGTAGGGGTGAGGGCCAATACCAGCATTCATCTGTCCTCTTTAGAAACAAAGGGAGGCATTCTGATTACGTTCATAGCTGTGTCTTTCTCCCCCAATTCAACTAAAGCCAGTTGCGATCCTATTGGGCTCAGGAAAACATGGCCCTTAGGATGAGCTGAAACAGAGAACGTGTGTCTTTAGAGGTCACGTGGCTCAGCCTCGTCATTTACAGATGGGAAAGGTTTCACCCAAGGTCATAGAGGTCAATGCTAGGGAAAGGGCTTGAACTCAGGCCTCCCGATACCCAACTAGGGACTTTATCCTACACCCGATGACTTGTGCTATGTTGTGTGTTCAGTTTCTCAGTCGTGTCCAACTCTTTGTGATCCCACGGACTATAGCCCGCCAGGCTCCTCTGTCCATGGGGGATTCTCCAGGCAAGAATACTGGAGTGGGTTGCCATGGCCTCCTCCAGGGGATCTTCCCAACCCAGGGATCAAACCCAGGTCTCCCACATTGCAGGTGGATTTTTTGCTGTCTGAGCTACCAGGGAAGCCCACACCTGCTGACTTATTTGATATTAAATGTCTTCTCTTCCCCAGACCTCGATTCTCCAAGAGACTTCACTGCTACGGAGGTTCAGTCGGAAACTGCCCTCCTCACCTGGAGACCTCCCCGGGCATCTGTCACTGGTTACCTATTGGTGTATGAATCCGTGGATGGTACAATCAAGGTATCTTGATGTATATAAACAAATCCCCATGACTGAATGAAACAGTTACATGAGTCTCAAAGTCAGGAAGAATTATCTGAAGTCTGTTTCTCCTACTCTAGTGTGACTGGGGAGCTGGAAAGAAATCAGTAGGAACTGGACACCATGCCAGACTTTCTGAATCATAAGTTGTAGCCTCCCAGTCTCATTTTAACCAGACTCCAGTTTTGATAGCCAGCCAAGGTCAAGAACTACTGCTCACAAGACTTGAGGACATTTTAGGAGCTGGACTCTTTGTCTTTTAGTGTTTTATTGAGTAAAGGCCAAAGGCTTCTTCTGCATCTTTGCCATACATCTCACAGATGGCATCATTCCGTTATATAATGATATACATATCACCATGTGCTTATGACATCAACTGTTTACAGCAGTTTTTAACTTACATTCTCTACCCATGATTTTTTTCCTTCTAGTTTTTAACTTGAAATAACTTTAGAAAGTGAAAGAAGTTTTCTAACCTTTACCTTCTAAATGTGTTTTAATATTGGTCACCATCCTTTCCATTTCCAAGATCTTTTCCTTATTTTCTGCACGTTGACCTTTTTCTAGCATATTGTTTCTATATCTTGTATCTTCTCTTTACCTCTAAGAATATATGTTCTTGGTCTTTTCTTCCTCTGCCTGCAGAGTGTTTCCTCCAAGATCTCTTTTCTGGTTTGCAGCTGTTTGGTTTGATTTGGGCGGCCATTTTTCATGTTGGAGACTTGCCCCTAATGTCAGTTGACCTTTTCGTACTGGAGCCAAGAATGAACTGGCTGATTGGGAGGTCTAAGTGCACAGAAAGGCTTGTCAACTTTGGCACTCGCTATAGAGTGATTGGGCACAGTCAGTTCAGTTCAGTCGCTCAGTCATGTCTGACTCTTTGTGACCCCATGGACTGCAGCACGCCAGGCTTCACTGTCCATCACCAACTCCCGGAGCTTGCTCAAACTCATGTCCATTGCATCCGTGATGCCATCGAACCATCTCATCCTCTGTTGTCCCCATCTCCTCCTGCCTTCAATCTTTCCCAGCATCAGGGTCTTTTCCAACGAGTCAGTTCTTCACATCAAGTGGCCAAAGTATTGGAGTTTCAACTTCAGCATCAGTCCTTCCAATGAATATTCAGGACTGATTTCCTTTAGGATGGACTGGTTTGATCTTGCAGTTCAAGGGACTCTCAAGAGTCTTCTCCAACACCACAGTTCAAAAACATCGATTCTTTGGCACATACCCAGCAATTTTCTTGGGAAGGTTTTCAAGCATTAGGACTATAAGCCCTTTCTCTTGAGCTCGTCACTCTTCTTGGAGGACCCTCCACCAAACTCCTTCACACCAGGCTGCCAGAGCCTCGCTGGAGAAGAGGCCTGGGCTCCCACTGTGTATACACCTTCAGTTCTCCTCTAGCCAGCGCAGCACCTGAGGCTCCCCCGCAACTGGGCATGATAGAGTTGAATCCAGAGTCTCCTCTCTAGCTCAGCCTGTCCAGAGAGGAAACCTCAGCCTTTCACCTGGGCTGAGAAGGACAGTCATCCAGACTGCTGGGGGATGGAGAGAACTAGGAATCTGTTTATTGTACAAAGTTTTAAACAAAGCTTCGTTCAACCACACCCAACATGGGCCTTCAAAGGCATCTTCGCTTTTGCTTGCGTCCCTTTCCCGGGCTTGCCAGGGTCTGCAGCGCTCACCAGCCAGCCTCTGAGTGGCTCCAGCCCCTGGGGCTCCCTCTGTTCTGTCGCCTCGGCTGTCACCCCACCATCCCACACTTCTCACCGATCGACATTCTGGTGACATCGCATGCCTGTTGCTGTCTCCTCTGCCACCTCTCTCCTCCTGTGGGTTTGTGCTTTATATCTCTTCCTCTCATTTCAGCGGGTATCAGAAGCAAGTAGAAATAAACTGGCGTGTTCAATATGCTATGGTTAACCAGAAATGAACACATCTCTAGATGTCATCACGGCCCTTCTAGGAGTCGGCGTAACAGTGAACTAGTTCACTGTGTGAGCAGAGACAAGTCCCGCACCTTCTCTGGGTGTCAGTGTTCACATCTGTAAAATGAGTGCATTGGACTCCCCAGTCTGTGAGGGCCCTTCCCGGTCAGGCATCCTGTTTGCCTGAAGCCCTGAGTCTCATTTCGGTCTACCCTAATTGCTTAGAAGGAGACTTTGTGCAGCAGCTTAGAAAGCTGATAGGTAATGGTATCCCCAGGTAATTTAAGGAAGCCAGCTTTGTACCTTACCCTTCCGCGGGGACCAGACCTGGGAACTACACAAAAGTCACCGGGTCACTGGCATCAAATGGGCTCTCACCTGGGTCTATTCCCTGCATGTCTGACCCCCAGCTTTATCTGTTTCACTCAAGAAAATCAGCCTGGCAGAGGAGGAAAAAGTCCTGGGCAGGAAGTTAGGAGACAGATGCAAGACCACCCCATCACTGACAAATTATGGAGTGAGTGCAGGTCTCTTAGCTTCTCTGAAACTACTCACGCCGCCATACCCATCCACCCACACCCACCCACTCCCACATTGGAAAGAATCAGAATGTCACATTGATGGTGGTGAGGATGCCAATGAACCTTCCAGGGGCCTCCACACTGACTCATTACTGCCTAAATCCAAGCAGCTATGTTTGCAGGTTGTAGAGAGCATCGTTGTGTTTGGTTTGCTAGGAATGCAGGTTGAATTCCAATCCCTGACAGCAGGGTTATCTCCTAAAAGGTGATTTCACAGGCACTAGACATTTTGAAAAAGAGGATCTGAAAAGAATGAGGATCTCCTACAAAACTGCAGCTGATCCCATCCTCTGGACAGCAGCATGGTGACAAGTCACAAACTGCAAGCGTAGTTAGAATGGGCCTCCAGCAGCTATGCAGCTCTGCCTCTCCTGGATATGTCCTTTCTAGACAAGAGACCTGCTGGGTCAGCTCACGCCATCATCACGCCCCTGATCAGGCTCTTACGATTCAGTCACTCTAGGATGGGGCCCAGCCACGGTTTTATTTTAAAGCTTCCCAGAGGGCTGTGAAAAAGAGCCACGTTAGAGACGACTGACCTAGCTGGTCTTAAAGTCTAAATCTTTGCCCTTTTCGTGATTCATCTTCCTACCAGATTAAGCTGAGATCATGGTATTCACTTTTTCAAAGACCTTTCCAGGAACCTCCATTCCTTATCATGATAAACTTCAAAGTCCATAGGTTGACACTGAAGGTCTTTTATAATCTGGTGTCTGCCCACCTCTTCTGCTGCTCCCCTCAGTGAAGTATGGTTGCAACAGCTTATTACCTCCTCCTATGACTTGAATTTGCTCTGACCCTTCCGGCCCCAGGAGCTTTGCTCACAGGGCACCCGCCTCAATTCTAAGTCCCTGACATGAGCATGGAACCTGGCACAGAGTGGGCCTCAGTGGATTCTTGCTAAAGGAAGAAATGAGTGGATGGGTGAATAAAGGAATACATCGTCTATACCCTGCGGATTTATGTGGCCAAAGGCTATTATTGTATCTTTCTTCTGCCCTTAGGAAGTCGTTGTGGATCCAGACACCACCTCTTACAGCCTGACTGATCTGAGCCCATCCACCCACTACACAGCCAGGATTCAGGCACTGAATGGGACCCTGAGGAGCAAGACAGTCAAGACCACCTTCACCACGAGTAAGGGGCTCAAGGGGCAGCCAGGCCTTGAGATCACACTCTGTGAGACTGAACCAACCCTCCACTTCTCCTCTGACTGCAACTTTAAATGCTTCTATCACATTTTGATAAGAATCAATTACCTGCAATTACCTGAAAAGCCAGAGGAATGTGGATGTAGCAGGTTACAGGGCAGGTGGGAGGGCAGGAGGGCCAGCAGTGGGAACAGCTGGATTCACTCCCCATCACCACCTGCTCTGTGTGATGGAGGAGAGTTACTGCCATTCTGCAGGTCTCCGTTTCTTTATCCATATGATGGGATTAATAGTGATCCCTTCTTCATAAGGGCCTTAGGAGAATCTCTGTATTGAACTCCTAGCCCAGTGGGTAGCCATTGTTGGGGCTCCTTATAAGCTCAGCGTTCTCCTTTAGCATGTGGGCATTTATAAAGCCTGCTCATCCTCTCAAATCACAAACAGGCCTCCCATGTAGGCCAGGATTATCATGCCCAGCTCTCTGGTGGGGAACAGAGGCCCCCAGAGACTAAATGACCCGCTCAGGGTTATACCATGAGTTAGAGTCTGGTCTAGGCTCAGGTGTTCCAGGAGCAGGGAACCACACCCAAACCCAGCCGCTGGATGTTCTCTGCAGATGGCAAATGTGCAAGAGGTTCTATTAATGGAGAAGAGGAAGGGAGGAGGGGGGCTTTGGAGCCTTGAACTGGGTATACGGACTGTATCCCAGCACTGCCTCCTGCCCTTCACACTTCATTTTGGTCACTCCGCACACACCTGCTGAAGGAGGGGCGGATGCCAAAGCATCTCTCTTACAGGTCTCACGCCAGGTGCTAAGAGCACCAAAAATTTGAATGTGCCCTAAAGATGCTCTCAGACCAGGTTGTGAAACAGACAAGAAAATACCTAATGAGGCAACCTCAGGGGAAGGTAACATTACACTGAGGAGGTCAGAACAAAAAAAAAAAGAGCTGCTATGACTATCACTTCTCAAGTCTACCTGCTAATAAGCATAGTCCCAAGATTGTCTGTTTCTATCAAGTGTTGAATTTTTCACACCACATTACCACAAATAGAAATTCCCCAGACATTCCTGTGTCAGCCTTCTAAGATTCCCAGGTTCAGAGCAGTTATGTGACTTCTCCAGTGTCCGAAGGCAAGGAAGCAGCACGTTCAGGACTAGAACCCTTCCTTGTCTTTGGCGTCAGAATCCTCTGAAGAGGCTGAGATGCATGCAGCCTGCCAGAGTGTCACGCCCCGGGTGCTAGAGGCCCAGGCATCCTGGCCAACACCTGGGTGTCCGGCAGGTGTTCAGCAGGTGTTCGGCAGGTGTTCGGCAGGTGTCCGCAGGTGTCCGGCAGGTGTTCGCAGGTGTGCGGCAGGTGTCCGGCAGGTGTCCGGCAGGTGTTCAACAGGTGTCCGGCAGGTGTTCGCAGGTGTGCGGCAGGTGTCCGGCAGGTGTCCGGCAGGTGTGCGGCAGGTGTTCAACAGGTGTCCGGCAGGTGTTTGCAGGTGTTCGCAGGTGTGCAGCAGGTGTCCGGCAGGTGTGCGGCAGGTGTCCGGCAGGTGTGTGGCAGGTGTGTCCGGCAGGTGCCACCTGGATGGTCCTGATTGACCGCAGCCAACCTGACACACAGCCCTCAGGCAGATCAGTGTGCTTCCCCCCGATATCAGGGTGGCTTCCATCAGTATAAAAGGCTGAAAGGGGTCCCTTTATCCGTGACCTCTGCACCTCGCTGCACTCCCAGAGCATAGCTTTAATCCTCCCCCTTGCACACCAGAGTAGAGTCTCAGAGAGGTGGAGCTGCTTATCCTTAGGTGTCTAGCCAACAAGCACTTGACCTGTGACTTGAAAGCTCCTGCTCTGAGAATGACTCCTTCTCATCCTGCAGCTGGAGTCCTGTACCGATTCCCCAGGGACTGCTCCCAGGCAATGCTGAATGGAGACACCACCTCTGGCGTCTACACCATTTATCTGAACAACAACAAGACCCAGAAGCAGGAAGTCTTCTGTGACATGACCTCTGACGGGGGTGGATGGATCGTGAGTATCATGGAGACAGGCTCCAGGCCTCTCAGACAGGAGGGGTGGGGGCAGGGGAGAGGCGGGGAGGTCTCCTCCGTGCCCTCTGACCCCAATGTGCCTGAGGGTTTGCAAGACAGTGCCTGTCACATGGAAACACTCAGGAATTCTCTCTTAAAGAAATGGGAAGGAAGCTGAGGATAAAAAGCAGTTCCCCATTTTCTCATAATTTATCTCATTTGATCCTCAGACAGCTCTGTGATGTATAAATGGCCGTGGTCCTCGAGCCCATTAAGTTTACTGATTAACACTGGCCATCTACCAGGCACTGCCATGCTAAGAGTTTTCCATGAATGATTTCAGTCCCATTACCATATGAGCTAAGTAGTACTTTTTAAAATTACAGCTGTTATTCAGTCTCTCAGCCATGTCCGACTCTTTGTGACCCAATGGACTGCAGCATGCCAGGCTTCCCTGTCCTTCACCATCTTCCAGAGCTTGCTCAAACTCATGTCCATTGAGTCAGTGATGCCATCCAACCATTTCATCCTCTGTTGTCCCCTTTTCCTCCTGCCTTTAGTCTTTCCCAGCAGCAGGGTCTTTACCAATGAGTCGGCTCTTCGCATCATGTGCCCAAAGTGTTGGAGCTTCAGCATCAGTCCTTCCAATGAATATTTTAATTATTAAATTTTATTTTTTCGGAGCAGTTTTAGATGGGCAGCAGAATTGAGCAGGAGGTTCACTGAGTTCCCATATCCCCCCTGTCCCCAAAAGTATGGCCTACACGGACACATCACAATCATCGCAAGCTGGATGGTGGTCTTAATCATCTCTGTTCCTCGGGGGAGAACCCTGAGACTCTGAGAAGGGAGGAGATGTGCGTGTGCCGAGTCGCACAGCAGATTAGTGAGGACAGAGGTGGGGCCAGGTGCCTTTCCCACAGTGAGCATTTCCTCCTCTCAGAAAGATGTCTTCTCGTTCCTTCAATGGCTTAAGCTCATCCGGATTCACTGCTTGTGTTTATAGGTGTTCCTGAGACGCAAAAACGGACGTGAGGACTTCTATCGAAACTGGAAGGCCTATACTGCTGGATTTGGGGACCTAAGAGAAGAGTTCTGGCTTGGTAACACAGCCCGCGTGTTCATGCCCCAAATGCCCACTCCTGCCCTCCCTGTTGTCTGTCCTAACCCACGCCGAAACGTGGGAGAAAAACGGATTAGGAGGAAACGACAGCTCTGGTGGTCGACACAGAATATCAGATTCTCAATGGAAAAGACTTGAAATTCTCTGGGTCATTAAAAATAAAAATCTGATCAGAGGAGAGCCAACAGCACGACCCTAAGAATAAGCCTAGCCTCAAGTCACCCCCTGGGCCACTTAGAGTGTTATCCTCACTGATGCCCTTCACCTGTGCTGACTGGGTCCCTCCCAGCCACAAGCGCCAAGCCTCCCAGCAGCCCCACGGCGTACAAAGTTCCCGTCTTGCTCCTGGGAAAACAGCCCCAAAGAGGTTAAGCTGCTGACCGTAGGGATCTAGCCAATACAGACGTGAGTGGCACTCGAATTCTCTCAGCCAGCACTACAGGGGCATCCCCCATCCCCCACTGTGACTCACACTTTGCAACCACCTGCCCCTGGCACAGGGCACCTTCCTAGTTCCAGCATCTGAGCCTGGGAATATCTGCCCCATTGCCTTTCACAGGTAACGAGCCTTAGAGTGCAAAAGGTACCCTCTCCACCTCATTTCCTTTGATTTTCATAACACACCAGGAGACTGGAAGGGCAAAGAGGCCAGCCCAACTTTAGCTGAGGCTCAGACACGGCGTTATGTGTCACCTGGCGTGGCAGCAGTGAAGAGCGGAAGCCCTTCAGTGCACACGGAGCCGCTGCTCTCACGCGGGAGGAGGAACGGGCGCCTCGGTCACGGTGCTTCTTCGGTAACCCGCGCCTGTCGTCCACAGGGCTGGACACCTTGAGCAAAATCACAGCCCAGGGGCAGTACGAGCTCCGGGTGGACCTGCGCGACCACGGGCAGTCGGCCTACGCCGTCTACGACAAGTTCAGCGTGGGCGACTCCCGGACGCGCTACCGGCTGAAGGTGGAGGGGTACAGCGGCACAGCAGGTGGGCCCGGCGGGTGGGCACGGCGGGTGGGCACGGCGGCCCGGCGGGTGGGTACGGCGGGTGGGCACGGCGGGTGGGCACGGCGGGTGGGTACGGCGGCCCGGCGGGTGGGCACGGCGGGTGGGCACGGCGGCCCGGCGGGTGGGCCCGGCGGGTGGGTACGGCGGGTGGGCACGGCGGGTGGGCACGGCGGGTGGGCACGGCGGCCCGGCGGGTGGGCACGGCGGGTGGGCACGGCGGGTGGGTACGGCGGCCCGGCGGCTACACGCAGCCACTCGCGGAGCCCACGGGCCCTCGAACACGTCTCGGGGTTTCGGCTAGTTCCCCCGCTCAGCAGTCCTTCCTGCATCGGCCCATCCACTTATCCACAAACATTTGATAGGTGCTAATCTGGCAGAACTACAATTTAAAAAGACTAGGTAGATACTTGGGAGAAGGCGATGGCACCCCACTCCAGTACGCTTGCCTGGAAAATCCCATGGATGGAGGAGCCTGGTAGGCTACAGTCCATGGGGTCGGGAAGAGGCAGACACGACGGAGCGACTTCACTTTCACTTTCACTCGCATGCATTGGAGAAGGAAATGGCAACCCACTCCAGTGTTCTTGCCTGGAGAATCCCAGGGACGGCGGAGCCTGGTGGGCTGCCATCTATGGGGTCACACAGAGTCGGACACGACTGAAGCGACTTAACAGCAGCAGCAGGTAGATACTTGGTCACCAAAACCTAGGGTAGGTTGGGAAACAGGACATTTAAGATTTATTTGTAGCTACCTACTGTCACTCAAAAACTGTCTTTTTCTACTCCATGTTTAGATACCAGTTTTGGACGGAGAGGCAAGCAGTGTCTTGGGAGCCTTAAGGCTCATGTACTCTCGAGCCTCTCTGTTTATTACACACATGTGACCCTGGGGATCCTGTTAGTGAGCTGATGCAGTGTGTCTGGGGTGAAGCAGAGACGCCCCATTTCTGATAAGGGCCATCATGATACCAGTGTTGGTGGCACTGCTGGTCCGCAGCCTGCACTTTGAGTAGCAGACAGTCCACACCTGGATGAATCTTTTCTAAGGCCTTCCTGCCACATGGCCCTCCAGCCTCAGCTGGCACATCCCCATGACCAGAGAAGCTCCCTACCTCCCTGGCAGTCCTTCACTCTTTGACCAGTACAGAACCTAGTTCAGGTTTCGAAGATGTCTTTGACTTGAAATGACCTTTGTGTGGTTTTCTGGTGCCACATTACAAGAGAAACCAATAAGGAAACCATATGCATTCAGGCAAATGAGGTGGCAGCCTCTTTTTGCTGATATTTCGTATGCACTGTGCAAGTGAAAATGTTCATCTCTGTCGTGTCCGACTCCTTGTGACCCCATGGACTGTAGCCCACCAGGCGCCTCTGTCCATGGGATTCTCCAGGCAAGAACATTGGAGTGGGGGTGCCATTTCCTTCTCCAAGGGATCTTGCCAACCCAGGGATCAAACCTGGGTCTCCTGCATTGCAAGCAGATTCTTTACCATTTGAGCCACCAGGCAAGCCTCATTTCATTTGCATTATATATTATATAATATATGATACACCTGTGATACATATACAGATCATATATGTATGGTATATATACATATCTCCAGGGAGATATTGCTATTATACAGGTGAGGAAACTGAGGCTCAGAGAAGTTTGGCAATTTGCCCAAGATGTAACAGATTGAGGAAGATGGGCCCAGGGGCCAGCCTGGCTGCTGACAGGTGGTTTTGGTAACAGGGGAGATCAGGTGTAAGAGCGTGACCACCCCATGCCAAGCCCTGCCTGCTTTGGTGTGGCTCCCCATTACGTTTATGACAACAGAGGAGACGGGTGCTATAGCACATTCCCAACCTCTGGGCCCTGAAAGAACACGCCAATGATGGGAAAAGTCTCCAGGTATAATTTGCCAGAAGCAGGTCTCAACCTAAGGCGAGTTGGAGCTCTTTAGAGATCAGGTTGGTGGTAATGAAGATAGAGATCCGGCGTGAACATTGTTTTCATTCTTGCATCAGTCAAGGAATTCTGACATTTTATTACCTAGCAACAAATACCTCTTTTGTTGAGATGGCTTCAGGCAAGGAAGATCTTGTTACAGGGCAAGCAAAGGCACCCTGAGCAAGCAAAGGCACCCTGGGCAAGCAGGCAGCAGGAATGTGGCCTCCACCCATCTCTCTCTGTATTTTCAACAGAAAATGAGCCATAATCTACCCCTTCATTTCAGAAGCTCACCCTTGGAACCGCCGCCTCCTATGTGTACTGAGGGCAGCCAGCCCCTCCCCAGGAGAGCATCTTGTTTCATCACACCTAGCTTCCAGCCTCATGCTCTTGGTAGCTTCATCAGTTAACAAGGCACTCAAGTCCCTATGGATAAAGAATCTGCTTGCAATGCAGGAGACCCAGGTCTAATCCCCAGGTTGGGAAGATCCCTATCAAGTCCCTATGATAAATTGCTACAATATATCAGGATAGAATGCCTCAATGTCTTGAAACTTTTCTGCCCAGCATTGGCCAGGGTTGGAAGTGAGAGAACACGGAAATGGTGCTTAAACACTCCTACTAAAATTCAGTATATTAAATTACAAGCTAGATTCCCATGTAGCACTACATGTAAACAGGCTTTTTGTCTAAGAATCAAGGGAAATTGGTCCCATCAACACTTTGAAAAATAAATGTACAATATACAAGCTATTTGGTGACATCTAAAACCTGAACGGTTTGGTTGTAAGTATAACTCTGTAGGCTGAGACTTAAGGCTGACTGGCTCAGGATAGCTCTGGAAAAGCAGCATGGCAGAGTGGAAAACTAAACTCATTAGAACTTGCTAAATATTAGCTGTGTAAGTGAATGAGCGAGTGACTGTGAGTTAACGAATAAGTGCATGTATGCTAAGTCACTTCAGTCGTGTCCAACTGTAGCTCGCCAGGCTCCTCTGTCCGTGGGATTCTCCAGGCAAGAACACTGGAGTGGGTTGCCATTTCCTCCTTCGGGGGATCTTCCCGACCCAGGGATTGAACCTGTATCTCCGACGTCTCCTGCAGTGGCAGTCAAGTCCTCTACCACTAGCACTACCTAGGAATAAATGGGTAATAAATAAATATATCCCTGGAGGAAGGCATGGCAACCCACTCCAGTTTTCTTGCCTGGAGAATCCCATGGACAGAGGAGCCTGGTGGGCTGCAGTCCACGGGGTCTCCAAGAGTCGGACACAACTGAGCGACTAAACCTAAATAAATACATGAAAACAATAATGAAGTCTAAATACTTGCATTTGGGGGAAAAACACATCATTATTAAATACAGATTTCCCACCTTACTCTCTGAGTTCCTTTACATCAAGTGAATGCAAAGAGTCATGAAAGTAACAATCATAGCTGTGTGCACACCATACCACCTGTTTGGCATACACCTTCATATCAGTTGTTCCAACAGCCCCCTGAGGTGAATCCAATCAATGTGCTATGCTAGTTCCATTCTACAGATGGGAAAACTGAGGTTCCACGAGTGGCTTGATTTGTGCAAGGACACAAGTAGGGTATGAAAAAGGTGGGATTGGAGCAAGACCCTCCACACGTACCTGCAGCCCTCTTTCTACCACCTTGTGCTGCTTCCATCAGCAATGAGGCTCCAGGTGGCACTCATGTTCTATCCAGGCCTGTGCTGGATCCTAATCCTGGGCCTCTCGTTCGAGACCGGCCCACCCCAGCATCAGTCGTCGCCCTGGTGCTTCCACGGCCCACCCGGAGCTCCAGCGCTCAGCCATGCGTTCTCTCTCCCAGGTGACTCCATGGCCTACCACAACGGCCGGTCCTTCTCCACCTTCGACAAGGACACAGACTCGGCCATCACCAACTGTGCCCTGTCCTACAAGGGGGCTTTCTGGTACAAGAACTGCCACCGCGTCAACCTGATGGGGAGATACGGGGACAACAGCCACAGTCAGGTGAGCGCCGGCAAGGGCCCGAGCGGGGCTGAGACGGGGAGGCAGGGACCTCAGAGGCAAGGCCTCAGGTGTCTGCACCTCAGGGAGAACTCCATGGCACCACGGGCCAGGTAAGACCATAGCGACAGTGTGTATTCACCCCTGAAGATCCCGAGGAGAGCCACTGGTCAAGGGGATGCCAAGCATGCAGAGCTTTCCTTAGATTATCTGTGTCTGAACCCCACAAGGAGGCTGCTTGGGTAAAGCAGGGGTGATGCAGGCCCTGGCCTAGAGGCACCTCCAGAGCCCCAAGAACATCTCAGAATGAAGATCACAGATTTTAAGGTCCTTCCTCTTGTGAGTCATAAGACCGAGGTCCAGAGAAAGGTGACTTTCATGAGGTCATAGACCAAAGGTGGGGACAGAGCCAAATCCTCCAGGCCACCCCCCCCCAATTTCCCTGCACCAGACAGGATGCTGGGACACAATTTCTGCAATCACAGAAACAGATTTTTTTCAGTTTCGGTGGAAATGGGTGAACAAAATCAATTTCAGCTATATTATCACACTGAGCCCTGCCTACACTAGCAGGTGCCTGAAAAGTGGACAAAGTCAAGTGGGCCCAGCTACTTAACCATGATGGTCCCTTCTCAGCAGCCGTCCCTGCATCACACAGAGCCATCCAGACCGATCCCTGGGCTGGGTCTCAGGGAGTCGTACCCAGACTGCAACCCAGGTGGTGGTTGTTGTCAGTCATTAAGTCACGTCCGACTCTTTGTGACTCCCTGGACTGCAGCATGCCAGGGTCCTCTGTCCTCCACTCTCCCCTGGAGTTTGCTCAAGTCCATGTCCACTGAGCTGCTGATGCTAGCTAACCATCATCCCCTGCCACCCCCTTCTCCTTTCATCTTCAATCTTTCCCAGCATCAGGGTCTTTTCCAATGAGTCAGCTCTTTGCACCAGGTGGCCAAAGTGTTGCAACTTCAACTTTAGCAATAATCCTTCCAATGTAGATGCAGGGTTGATTTCCTTTAGGATTGACTGGTTTGATCTCCTTGCAGTCCAAGGGACTCTCAAGAGTCTTCTCCAACACCACAGTTCAAAAGTATCAATCTTTGGCACTCAGCCTTCTTATGACCCAATTCTGACATCCGTACCTGACTACTGGAGAAACCATAACTTTAACCTTTATTGGCAAAGTGATGTCTCTGCTTTGTAATCCACTGTCTAGATTTGTCATGCCTTTCCTTCCAAGGAACAAGTGTCTTTTAATTTCATGGCTGCAGTCACCGTCCACAACGATTTTAGAGACCCAAAAGATAAAATCTGCCATTGTTTCCACTATTCCCCCTTCCATTTGCCATGAAGTGATGGGATCTGATGCCATGATCTTAGCTTTTAATGTTGAGTTTTAAGCCAGGTTTTTCACTCTCGTCTTTCACTCTCATCAAGAGCCTCTTTAGTTCTTCTTCACTTTCTGCCAATAGAGTTGAATCATATGCATATCTGAAGTTGCTGGTATTTCTCCCAGCAATCTGGGATCCCTTTGTAAGAAGGCAAAGGTCCAAATCACACCAAATGACCGGAGGCATTCCGATCGGGGGGCCTAGATAGGATGCAGCATCTCATCATCTTGCTTACTTATACTTTTGTTCTTGGGCTTTTTTTTTGGCAGCTGTTGGGTTGCTGGGTTTGGAGTTTTTTTGTTTTGTTTTTATCAGCTGCATGGACAAAGGATCCCGGCAGTTGCAAAAGAGTCGGCCACGACTTAGTGACTAAACAACAACAGCTCTGTTGTTATTGATTTTGATACATGTGTTTATGTTAACCACCTGCAAATGAGTGTTGTGACCTTAAATGTACACCTTATCTTGACATAATTTCTGACACTTTTCAAAGTGTCATCTCCTCCTCTCTCTGGTGTACATCACCTTTGCTCTGTGAGGGGACCAGACCGTGGCTTTTCGCATCTATTTTATGGAGGAGGCAAGACTGAAGGACACATCTGAACAGAGCATGTGTTCTCTCCGCCCTATATGTGGCCTCGATAATGCGTCCACTCAGAACTACCGCACTCCTTTACCTCCTGGGTCCCGAACATCAGTGTAATACAGAGTCCTTTGGGAGGGGAATAAAAGCTACATGCCAGAAGGAAATTTCCTTTTCCATCATTCCATCCAACTCTGGAAGAAGGAGCTGACAGGAAAGGCCACAGAGCAGTCGCGGGAGCGCAGTCCCAGCTCCGGCTCTGCTCTGGCTGTCGTGAGGCCTCCGTGAAGTCACTTTCCCTCCCTGGCTTCCGTCTCCACCACAGCATGAGGAGGACTCACTTCCAGCTCTGAACCTCAATCAGAGGAGAGGACGAGGGCAGGGGAAGGGAGCACAGGACCAAGCTGAGTGAATTACAGATGCATCTGCCCCTAAACTGAGTCGGGTATTCTCAGATCCCATCCGCTGTCGGGTTCAGAGGCTGGCCAGTATTAATAAATGCCAAAAATTAGCATTAAACAAAGCATCTATATTCTCCCCCATCTCATCAGCCAGTCTCTTCTCTGTAGACATGTTCCATCCCAGCCCTACGGAACCTGAAGAGAAGAGGCGCGGAGCAGGGTGGGAGGTAGGGGAGACCCCACAGGAGGACTCCCTGACGCTGACCCCCACCCAAGGAGGACAGGGGTCTGTGGGACTCAACAGGCAGAGTCGACCACCTGTTGACTTTGCTGAAGAGCCAAACCAGGCGGCCCTGAAATAAATACAGGCTTTTCTTGAGGAAACTCTTTGGCCAGAGTTCTGAGGCTATGCCTCCGTACTTGAGACAGGGAGAAATGTTTTCTGAGCACCTCTGATGGGCCCAGGGCAGTGGCAGCTCCTTCACAGGCTCATTTAATCTTCACAGCATCCTTCCGAGGTTAGCATTATTAGCCCTAAAGAAGAAAAATAGTAAAACCGGGGCCCAGAACCTTTTGATAACTCGTTCAAGACATTTATCTCTCAAGTAAGAACACAAAGATTCAATTTTATGTGTCAGGTTGCAAAACTTATGTCCACCTATGTACTTTGAGCTGTACCATACCAACACCTATTAATAAAACATGTCGTAGGAATCCTGTGAAGTATAGACCCCAACCCCCGCACCCGCCGCCTATAGCTACTCAATTCCATAAGCTCTGATCATGACCCGAATTCCTACAGCACGTAATCCTAATGATGGCCAGTTTCATCCGCCACAACTTTATCTCAAGATGGCAGATCAAAGTTCAATGCAAACTCAGGTGAATTTTGCCTAAAGTTAAAAAAAAAATTGATTCAGCCAGATCTTTTGAAAGTTTTCATCATACAAATCAATAAACAGATCAGCAGGATACAGCCGTGAGCTTCCAAATGGTTGAGCTGAAGCAAAGCTCATCTTTTTCCTTTAAATTAATTTTTATTGGAGTATAGTTGTTTTAGAATGTTGTATTAGTTTCTACTATACAACAAAGTGAATCAGCTACATGTGTGTGTATATATATATCCCCTGGAGAAGGATATGGCAACCCACTCCAGAATTCTTGCCTGAGAAGAATATATATATATATATACAGCCTGACTATAGCCAGCCAGGCTCCTCTGTCCATGGGATTTCCCAGGCAAGAATTCTGGAGTGGGTTGCCATATTCCTCTCCAGAGGATCTTTCTGACCCAGGGATCAAACCCACATCTCCTGCACTGGCAGGAGGTTTCTTTGCTGCCGAGTCAGCACAGAAGCCCCAAGTCCGTCTCCACCCGCTCATTTTTGGACTTCCTTCCCGGTTACATCATCACAGAGCATTGAGAAGAGGTCCCTGTGCTCCACAGTAGGTTCTAGTTAATAGAACCTACTAGTAACTAGATAAATAGTCACCTACTTTTTACATAGCTGTCAATAGTGTATATATGACAATCCCAGTCTCCCAGTTCATCCTCCCCTTCCCCCTTGGGATCCATATGTTTGAAACAGGGCTCATTTTGTCCCCCTAACTAAATAGCAATGGTCAGTGAATACCTTGCCTGATGGAAACCAATCTGAAGGTCTTCTCTCCTTCACAGGGTGTTAACTGGTTCCACTGGAAGGGCCACGAGCATTCAATCCAGTTTGCTGAGATGAAGCTGAGACCCAGCAACTTCCGAAACCTCGAAGGCAGGCGCAAAAGGGCATAAGTTTCCGCGGACAACTGGGGGAGAGGAGTAGGGCCCAGAGATCGAAGATAATTTTACCAAAGCATCAATGCGAGCAGTCCGACCATTAAGCCACACCTGGGCGTCTGGCAGGAGCTAAAGTTGACCATGGACCGTCGGGGCCTGCAGCGGCAGCGCTGGCCTCAGCCACTCCGCGATGACTTCCTTCACACCAAAGACCACAGTGTCCAGCAGGTTTCCATTCTGTTGTCTGATTCAGCAAAAGTCTTCCAGCGACAGCATCACAATGATTTTCCTTCTCTTGGGTGGCTCTGGGGATGGGAGCGGGGCAGGCTGTACAGTGGGTAGTTTGTCTTAGAACCAGCTGTATTTTACACAAAGCTGTATAATTAATTATCATTATTTTTGTTAGCAGTGATTCAATGTGTGTCTTGAAGCCGTCCCTTTTTTTATGTTCAGAAAAGCAATGCTGTTTCAATTTTAAGGATACAATTAATATTATTAATATAATAATAATGATGATGATGTAAACTAAGGATTTTTAAAGAGATCTTCCTTTCCAAAACACATCTGGACAGTACCTGATTGTATTTTTTTTTTAATAAAAGCACAAGTACTTTTAAATTTGACTATTGCTTTTCCTTTCTTTTTTTTTGTCAAGCCTGAATTCCACCAAAGACAAAGTATCTGAACAAAGTGGGAGAGGAGGGAAGGGAGAGGTAAGGAGGGCTGGCGGCCAAGAGGGAGGGGAAGGAGGAAAGGGAGACTGGGGGCTGGGAGAGGGGAAAATATTTTTGAATTTGAACAAGTTTGGAAAGTGCTTGTAACTTAAGATTCAGGGACTTCCCTGGTGGTCCAGTGGCTAAGACTGCACACTCCCGGTGCAAGGAGCCTGGGTTCAGGCCCTGCACAAGGAACCAGAACCCCCATGGTTCAATTAAAGTTCCCACGAGCTGCAACGAAGACCTGGAGCAGCCAAACAAATTAATATCTAAAAAAAAAAAAGAAAGATTCAGCTTCCTGCTCAACATTTCCAAAACTAGCAGCTTATTCTTTTAAAAGATACCTTTACACCCATTTTCTAAAGTAATCTCCTAAATGCCACAGATTAGTTGACAACTGTGACCGAGCAAAGGTGAGAGTCCCCAGAGGCTTAAGTTCGAGCCTTGGCTCCACCATTCCTTAGCCTCTCCAGGCCTCAGTTTTCTCACCAGTCAAGTGGGGATACATGGATGTCTGAATTTCGTAGCATTTCTGTGGAAAATAAAAGAGATCATCCCATGAGGCCCTTTGCAAGGTGCCCAGCATAAGTATGGTGATGACTACTCTCACTGGATACCAGTGGACCGGGGCGGCGGGGGGGATAGGATGGAATGACCTGTCCGTGGCTACTTTGTTGTTATTGCTCAGCTCTCAGTTGTGTCTGACTCTTTGCGACAACATGGACTGCAGCACGCCAGGCTTCCCTATCCCTCACCATCTCCCAGAGTTTGCTCAAACTCATGTCCACTGAGTCAGTGACGCCATCCAACCATCTCACCCTCTGTCATCCCCTTCTCCTCCTGCCCTCAGTCTTTCCCAGCATCACAGTCTTTTGTGCATCAGGGTCTTTTCCAATGAGTCTTTGGATCAGGTGGGCTATCTGCATCAGGTGGCCAAAGTATCAGAGCTTCAGCTTTAGCATCAGTCCTTCCAGTGAAGATTCAGGGTTGATTTCAGTGGCTACCAGCCCAGTTAATAGTAGAACTAGGATTTAAACTCAGGTTTTCTGGTCCCCATGTCCTTGCTCTCCCCCAAGCCCCTGATGACAGTCCCTCCTTCCCTGGGATACATGTGTCACGCTGTAGAATGAGGGGTGTGGGGAAGTCACCAGGATCTGTCACGAGGCTCATATGACCTGAAGTCTTAGAGACAACGTCTCCTAGGAATGGCCCCTTCTCTCCCGCTCGACGCCCCCTAAAAGGAAGCAAGCCCTGCGTCACCCAGTTTGGTCTGAATACCTCTAGTGATGGAGGGGACTCACTGCCCAGAATAGCAGACCTGTTTGTACTCAGACAGTGTGAGTCAGAACCACACATTACACATTTCTTTTTTCAAACAGGGATTGGGGGTGGAGGGAGGGGGCGATTCTCTGTTCATTCTCTTAGGGATTTTCAACAAATCGACTTTATTTAATGGAAATGTTTGGGCTGATAGGCCTCATTCAAATGGAATGCGATGGCTCAGAAAGGAAAATCAGAGGAATTCATGGTTCCAGCCAGCTCCTTTGCTGCTGAGTTTATCTTGCTTTAATAAATGCTGTCGTGTTATATACACAGTTTGCTCCTTCAGATCATAAGACTTGTTGCCTGCAAGCCAGCCATAGCAACACTAGCCTTGCTGTGTAAACCCAAATAAACCGGCTCCCTGGAACAACCAAGCCTCACGTTGGGGGCCTAACCCTCTACTAACTGCCGACTTAGGAGCCCCTGAACCTCAGCTTACCCCTCCCAAGAAAGACAGATACAGTAAGCTGGTAAGGTGTTCCCCAGAAGCTACGCAAGTCCAAGTCTCTTGGTGAAGAGGCCACATCAAACACATCCTTATTCATGGCCTTTGGAAGATTGCAGTCATGTTCACACAGGGGCTAAGTGGGCAGAAGGCCTGAGGCCATGGCATTCAAAACCTCCGCAGTGGGTTTCTGCACTCCACAAGTACTGGTCCGAAGTGTGAGCTCAGTATTTCTCAAACACATCTTTCAGTTACTGGCTCTGTGGCTTTGTTCAAGCACCCGCCTCCACCTTGAAAGGTCTTGTGAAATCCTATCCCCCCTCAAGGTGCAAGCCTGTCTCCACTCCCAAGATACACTCTGTAGCTCTCCATCGAAAGCGCATTTCCACGGTGTTTGGTCTTCTCTTTGCCCGTCCCCATCTGCTCTGCTCCCTGCTTTCTGCTCTGTATCCTAAAGACCACCCTTCAAGAATGAGACAATGGACTCTCATGCCCCCAGGCTTCCAGCAGCAGCACAGGGACTTGGAAGGAAAGAGACTGGTGGCAATGGGGTGGGGGGTGAGCCGGGGAATTCCTTTTCCGGCGCCATCTGTAGGCCATCATGGAGGGCTGGCCATCGAGATGGGTGCGAGTTTCCCCTAGAGGAGTCTCAGCCCCCGTCGACTGTCTCCACACAAATCCCTCTGCAAGTTTCAGGTAACTGCTCCCCCTCCTTGCCCCTTCCAGCAGCGATGGTCTCTGCATATCAGCTGCTACCAGACCTGGGGAATCATGCTGGGCCCTCTGGTTCTCCTCCAGCCGGCCCACTCCGTTGGAAATAGTCCCTTACTTCAACTTTTCTGGGGCACTGTGACAGGCTCACCCACTCCTGGGGACACTCAGACACCCTGCAGCACCATTACAGTTACCCCATCATTTCTACTCACACCCCTCTCCCTGTAGTAGACATTGGTCATTTAATGACTTCCCAGAATCTCAACTCCTTTCTAGTTTTGGAGAATCTCCCACTGGATGAGAACCCTACCTCCCACCATGGAAGCCGCAGGGGGAAATGGTCTGTCCTCCTCCCCGTGGGAGCAGGGTTTGGGCACACAACCTGAGCACAGCCCCCCGGACACCTGGGGAGGGACATCTGACCTTTAGCAAGGAACGCAGGCCAAAGAGCCTCTGGGCTGCTTCCCCACAACCACCTTCAGCATCCGCCCGCAGAGCCCCCATCCTTTGGGACCACGATCCAGACCACCTTCTCGCTTTCTTGGCCTGCCCGCCCCCCACCACTCTCCTCCCCACCACACCTGAACGGCCCCAGAGTATCCAGGGGGTTCCCTGGGGGCTCCACTGATGGGCTCTCATCTCCCAAGATTCTCATATCCCTTTTCATTTAAAAGTCCATGCTGAGTAACCCACACGTGCCCAGTACTAAGTGAACAAACCAACATGCGTCCCACCTTCATGCAACCTTCGTGCCAGGAAGAGGCTGGCATTATGTGTTATACATTCACATCAGACAAGCAAATGTATTACCGAAGACTAAAGGCACGCTTTGGAAGCAAATACAAGAGACTAGCAGAACATCTAACCGGGACCGGACTAGGATGGCTTCCCTGAGGAAGGGCAGGTGAATCACAACCTACATGATAAGCAGGAGTTAACCAGTGAGAGAGGGAGCCGAGGCAGAGGGCAGCGCATTCCTAGAGGCCCCGGGGCTGCCAGGCTGCTCAGAAAGAAAGCCAGAGGCCCGGGAGCAAGGGAGGTTGCAGCAGCAACAAGAACCCAATTCCACAGGTTCTCTGGGTCCAGAGTAGGGATCTTGCTCTTTTCCCTGAATGCAACGGGAAGCTACCAAGGAATTTTAAGCAGAGGAGTATAATGCTCATGCTTGTCTTGTTTTAAAAAAGAAAAAAACACACATCTTTTTGAGAACTAAATAATGCCGTGTGCAGCAACCTGGATGGGCATAGAGATTATCATACTGAGTGAAGTAAATTAGACAAAGACAAATATCACATGATATCACTTATATGTGGAATCTAAAAAGAAAAAAAAAAAGAAAGAACTTTTTTCCAAAACAGAAAGAGACTCACAGACATAGAAAACGAACATATGGTTATCAAACGGGAAACAGGAGTGGAGGGAGGGATAAATTAAGAGGTTGGGATTAACACATACACACTACTCTGTATAAAATAGATAAACAACAGGGCCTACTATATAGCACAGGGAACTCTACTTAATATTTTATAATGACCTATAAGGGAAAGGAATATGGAAAACAACATATATGTGTAAATGAATGAATAAATGTGTGAATCTCTATGCTGTGCACTAAAATTAACACAACACTGTAAATCAAGTATTCTTCAATTAAAGAAAAAATCCCTTTTGCTGCAGTTTTTATTTGGGCTGGAGGTACAGATGGGAGAGTAAGAAGGCCTCTGCAGGGGTCCAGGTTAAAGGAGATGGAGTTTGCGCAAGTGTGCTCCTATTAACAGACACAAAGCATACGGTTCTGAGAGACGTCTAGAAGGGAA